CCTTCCCCCTGCTTTTTCCCTTTTAGGCACTGTGGTTTGCAATATTATTACTGAAAGGGTATCATGCGTATCACTTTACCTCCTTTCAGCACTCAGTCCTTGTCCAGAGTGATCATTTCCAACTATCATTGTCATATGGTTCCTTTTCTGTCCTAACTGCACTCTGTCCTGCCCCCCTTGTGGCAAGCTTCCTGCCAAGGACCAGTCCTCTTGGCCCTGGTTTCTGTTGTCTTTGGGTATTGTTGCTTTGTTTTTGTTACTGAGGCACACCTGGCAATGCTCAGGAGTTACTGCTGGCTCTGTACCTGTGATTATTCCTGGACCCTATAGGGTGCTGGGGATTGAATCTGGGTCATCTTTGTTCAAGACAAGCATCCGATCGCAGTACTGTTACTCTTGCCCCAAGCCCAGATAGTATAGCAGGAGGAGGAGGGGGTTGGGGCACCCTCGAGAGGCCTGTATCTTCTTTAGCATGCAGTCTTGAGGATCCAGATTAGTATTTGTTAAAACTGTGGTTTGATTCATTTCCTCCCCTCCTCTCTTGTGTTATTGCTGTTCCTGTGATAGGAGCACAAACTTGCTTGTGGTGTTCAAGTTCTGTCTCTCTCACTCACACACACATGCACATTGTATGCCCCTGCTGTGGGGATCACATGTAGTACTTGGGATTGGAATGGCACTGGCGCCACCAGCGAGCCAGTCCTGGGCTCCAGGTCAGCTTCTGTCTTTAGTGGGAGGGAGCAGCGTGATACCCTCAGCGTGATCGTTGCTGTGTGCAGAGGCTGCGTTCTCCGGCCAAGGCTCTGGTGCCTGGTGTGGGCGTGAGGCAGGCTGGGTGCCCGCCCCTCTGGTTCGCTGAGACCCCCCCAGGTGCCAGGGGTTGGCTCCTATTTCTGCAGCACCCTGGCTGGAGCTCACTGACCCTGGTGTGTGTGAGGAGCAGCTGGCAGACCCGATGCAGAGCTTCTTCATTACAGGCAGCCACTGGGCACTTCCCGCATGGTTCTGTAGCGTGTGGGCTTGTGTCCAGTGAGATCTGACTCAACCCTTGGGTGCTGAAGGGCAGGTGTCTGTATCTTGCTTTGTGAAGGACCGAGCCGAGTAGGTGGCTTTTTTTCCCTCCCTTTTTTTTCTGGATTTGGGGCCACACCCAGTGGTTTTTAGGACTTACTCCTGGCTCTGTGCTCAGGGATCACTTCTGGTGGGCTCAGGACCAGATGGGGTACCAGGGATTGAACCCGGTTAGCCCTCTGCAAGGCATGTGCCCTGCGTGCTGAACAATCTCTCCGGCCTCATAATGCATTTCCTCTTTTTCCCAGGCTGGGGGTAGGACTCGGGAACTTCTATGTGAGGTGTGTACATGGCCACTGAGGCACATTGGGCAAGCTCCTCTAGGTCAGGGTTGCTGGGGAGACAGCAGGGAGTGGAGGCCCCCTCACCCCGGGCTGTTTCCAGGGCAGTCTTGTCTGGCCGCACCCCAGGTCCCTGGGTGTGTTGACGAGACGCCACTTCCACGTGAGCTGCTGGTTGGTTCGTGTGTGGTGTTGGCACTGAGTGTGGCAGAGAGCCAGCCGCTACTCGACACACCTGGCCTTGGTCTCGCGCTGTGCGGGGGCACGGTGGCCCCAGAGGCCAGTCATCTGCGTGCAGGTGTGCCTTGTGGTTGAGAAGGGGCTGAGCAGTGCCTCAGCAGCAGCACGGAGGGTTGGCACTGGCCTGGCCTCGTCTGTCCAGCGTCCCTGCTCGTAGTGTTTGAACGCCTCTCACCTGCGCGCAGGGGCTCGGCTCGGTGGGAAGGATATGGGTTACGCACCGAGGGAAGGTGAGCTGCCCTCTCTGCCACAACTCTGGCTGATGTTTGTCCATGGCCTTCCTGTGCCAGGAGTTGGGTGTGGTCACTTTCAGGTCACCCAGAGCTTCCTGGGAGTGGGGGCGGGGCACTGGTCAGTCTCAGGAGGACCTGTGCAGACTGTGTGTCTGTCTCTCTGGAGAAACAGATCTTTCCCGATGCAGCCGCAGCAGTCAAAGCCCTTTTGTTTTCATTCTGTTGGTCTGAGGGAGCTCAGGGACTCCCCTGGCTGTGCGCGCTGGGGTTGCTCCCGGCGGTGCTGGGCCCAGATCAGCGCCTCCCTGTGCAGGGCCACACTCCTGCCTCTAGCCGCCTCCCCTTAAGTCCCTGCGTCCCCTGCTGCCACAGAGCATCAAGCACAGACCGCCTCTTCTGGTCTGGGGCCAGACGTCTGTGCTGGGTCTTCCAGGCTGGCTTGTGAGGGCTCCATGGAACTGCAGGCTGGAGCAAGGCTGCCCGCTGTCCTCTGCTCAGGCCCCAGCCATCTGCCAGGGGCAGCTTTCCTCTCTGGGCTCCTGTCACACGAGTCCCTGCCCACGCGTCTTCTCAGGACCCCTGGTGTTTTGCAATGGGTCTGCCAAGAGCATCCGGCTTGTCTCGACCCTGATTGAGTCACAGTTTTTTCACCCCTTTGAATCACCCCTTTGCCATGGGGAGGTCTCTGGAAGCCAGCGTGGCAGCTGTGTGCATCTTTGATGCTCAGGCGCTGCACTGTTACAGGGATTGGTGTCAGCCCCCACCACGCCTGTGCAGTCTCTCCTGGTAAATGCTGCTGACCCCAGGCCAATCTGTCTGGACAAGCCAGGCAGTGCTGCAGATTTGTAATCTCGGAGTGTCCTTGAGACAGTGGCGGCTGTCACTGTCACTGTGTGGTGTCTCAGGGACCTTGTTTATTGTGGGTTTGTGGGGGGCACGGTAGTCTGGGTCCCATCCTGGTGTTCTTTTTGTTTTGGGCCACACTCAGAGGTGGGGGTGGGGCAGGCTGTTCTTGGCTGCGTGCTCAGGAGTGACCCCTGGTGGTGCTCTGTATGGGGTGTAGGGATTGAGCCAGGAGTCCACTGTGGGCAAGACAAGTCCCTAACCCCCTGAGCCGCCTCCCAACCCGGATTCAGATGCCGCCATGGAGAATTTCAAGTGGATTTCGCTTGGTAGTTTTCTAAATTTTCATTGTCCGAATGCAGGTCTGACCAGAACCCTGGGGCCGGGAGACGTGGCCCATGTATGCCCACCCCCTCTTCCCAGAATACCAGGGCTAGTCCTGGGCCCCAGCAGTGCTAGGAGAGCCCTTGAGAGAAAGGGCTGATGAGGTGGCCCACAGGCAGGGATGGAGCACGAGGGTTTCATGCTGTAGGCCTGGGTTTGATCCCCAGCACCTCATGGTCACCCAGCCACTGCCGGGAGTGATCTCCCCAAGCAGCCAGGGATAGCTGTTGAGCACCACCATGTTTGGCCCAGAAGTTGAAATTAACAAACCATAGGAATGTGTCTGTGCGCATCCATGTCAAATAGACAGGGCCTAGTCCCTGTTCTTTGTTTGTTTGGTTTTTGTTTGTTTGGGGGCCTGGCTCAGCAATGCTCAGGTCTTACTCCTGGCTGTGCACTCAGGAATTACTCCTGGCAGTGCGTGGGGGACCATATGGTGTGCCAGGGATTGAACCTGGGTGAGCCGTGTGCAAGGCAAATGCCTTCCCCACTATCCTATTGTCCAGCCCCATTCCTTATTCTTGAGGCTCATTCAGCCTGGAGGAGAATGCTGGTGGCTAGAAAGAGATCCCAGATAAAAGGACTTGCCAGGGAGCCCTTGGGCATCTGAGTCCCAGTGACTTTTTGGTGGGCTGAAGAGATAGGACAGCGGGGAGGGCACTTGCCTTGCTCACTGCTGACCTGGGTTCAATTCTTGGCAACCCATAGGGTCCCTGAGTACTGCCAGCAGTAATTTGTTAGTGTAGAGTGAGGAGTAAACCTTGAGCACCGCTGGTGTGGTTTAAACACCAAAACCAAAAAACAAGTGTCTTGTGGCTTGGGCCCATCCTACTCTTGGCTGATTTCTGCTCCTGGCCCAGGTGGGGGAGGCCCTAAGGGGGGGTGAGCAGCCACTTGTTTAATTCTCTTGATTTGGGGGGAAGGTTTTCTGCCATGGGAACTGCAAGCATCTGGAGAAAGGGTCATTCCTGTAACTGTCCATCTTGCCCAGCTGCTTATGGGTGACCCGTGTTTCCTGCTGGCAACCTTTGTGCCCCTGAGCTTGGGGGTGGGGGGGGGGTCAAGGGAAGGAACATCTCCCTAGCTTCAACTTGGTCTCATCTGATGCCTCTCATAGACTATTTTGGGTCCCAGTACTTAATTGATTTTGGCCTCCTGTACCTTATAGTCTGGGGTATACAGAATATTCCTGCTTTAAAATATCTCTTGGGTGCAGAGTGCTTCGCCAGGGTTCCTGTGGCCTGTGTGCTTTGGAGTAGGTGAGAGGCCTTTGCCTGGGTTGCTCCAGCATTGTAGCCGCTCTGGCCATTCCTCAGTGTTGTGGGTACCATAGCCTTGAGGTCGGCTCTTCACCGCCACGTTCAGAGCATGCAGCCAAATTGAATGTAGGCTCAGGCCCTGATGCCGTGAGTCCATGTACTGTTGGTGTCTGTGGACAGTCGCCGTGTGGCAGAGGGAAGGCCCTGCTTTCTGGTTATCTCTGGAGTTCTGTTGCTGTATGTGGGCACATGAGATCCTCAGTCCCTGGAGCTGCCCCCCGACCATTGCCTGTCCTGTCTGGAGGCTCTTGTTCCGTGATCATACCTGACCGCCCGCCCCCGGGCCCTGGGTACGTGCGTGTGCCCAGCTGCATGGCCCATTGCCCTGAGGGCTTGCCTCGGAGTGGGTTGTGTGGCCCTTGATGACTCACCCTCCCTGCTCAGTGGTGCCTGTCCCATGTGACCTCCCTTGCTGGGCTGGTGAGAGCTCGCAGGTTTACATTTCCATGGGGCTGGGGCTGGTTCCTTCGGGGAAAGTCCCCGGAGCATGGTGGTGCCCTCGAGAATGCTCAGGCTGTGAACAGAGGTGTCCTGGGGGCAGAGGCCAGGGTGCCCCAGGCCCTGAGGGGCTCAGTCCACCAGGGCAGGGCATTGGTGGTTTATGTGTTTTTCTTTTTCTTATTTCTAAGGCAGATCGGGAGCGGTGCCAAGAAAAATTTCCTTACTAGATGACATTTCATCGCGATGTCCGATCGTTTGGGGCAAATAACCAAGGGCAAGGATGGGAAAAGCAAGTATTCGACGCTCAGCCTGTTTGATAAGTATAAAGGAAAATCAGTAGACGCGATCAGATCCTCAGGTAAGGAAGGACAGGGCAGGGGATGGGGGGTGCCTGGGGGATGTTGGGCTGGAACTCAATTTACATGAACATTTCTTTTGGGGTTTCATGAGTTCTCTACTCTGCACCCTCATGGGGAAACTGCTGGAGCAGATGGGCAAGTTTTAATGTTCTGCGCTTGCTGTGGCTCCAGGCATAAGTTGTTCCTGTATACCGAGGCCAGAGCTGCATGGTCGGTGGTAACGGGGAGCATGTGGGATGGGGTTTTGTTTTTGTTTGTATTTGGTTTTGGGTTTTGCACCGCACCTGGTGGTGCTCAGGGTTTGCTCCTGGCTCTGCACTCATGAATCACTCCTGGTGGTGCTCAGGACTGCCAGGGATTGAACCCTGGCAAATGCCCTCCTCCCGTGCCATCACTCCAGCCCTCAGGTTGGAGGTTTGTGGGCTGCCCCGCTCCATCTTACTGCAGACTCCCTGGGCTTGCAACCCAGCTGGTAGTGAAGCTCTGTGGGCTCTCGGCAGCCCTTGTCTTGGGGTCCTCTTTGTTACACTGAGGACTGGGATGTTGCTGCGTGAGCAGCTCCTGCCTCTCTCACGTGGGCACTGCCTCTCCGCCTCTCTTGTGCAGTCATTCCTCGACATGGCTTACAGAGTCTTGGGAAAGTCGCCACAGCCCGGCGGATGCCACCGCCTGCGAACCTGCCAAGCTTGAAGTCTGAGAACAAAGGAAACGACCCCAACATCGTGATAGTACCCAAGGACGGAACGGGATGGGCAAACAAGCAGGATCAGCAAGACCCAAAGAGGTGAGTGTAGGGCGGTGGGCTCCTGGGGGCTCCCTGGGTGCGCCCGCCCCTCTACCCGGTGTCTCTGCTCCACGGGCCTCATCAGGGAGGGCCGCCTCACCCCATGACTGGTCAGGGGCTCCAGGAGCAGCAGTGTGGTCCAAGCTGGGGCTCAAGAACTCCATCCCTGGGCCCAGAGCACCCCACACAGGGGCCTTTGCCTCAGCACCCTGCTTACTGCGGCAGAGGCCTAAGGTCTGCTGGGCACTTGTTCATTCAAGACACAGCGTCTCGTGCCTGCTGTGTGGTGGCCTGGTGCAGAGACCTAGCACCCGCCTGTCGGTGTCAGCCAGGCCAGAGGGTCGGGGAGCCGAACCAGAAGTCTTTCCAGAAGGCCTCAAGGAGGGCCGCTTTACTTGCACAGAGCCCATCTGGCCCTTTTTCCCTGTCCCTTGAGCTCTAGCTAATGACACTGGAGCTCAGTTCCTCCTCCACTGGAGACAGCAGCACAGCTTCCCTGATAGCCGGGTCCCTCCGTGCAGTCAGGGTCACAGGGTCACGGAAGGACCCACCCTGGTTGTCTGGGCCAGCCACAGCGTCTCCCAGTCAGTTGCTGAGAGTGGCTGCAGGGATCTAATGGTCGGATGTGTGATTTCCGTCCGGGAGCTTGGAGTCCGGAGAGCTGTTTTGCTTCTGTGAAAGGACTGGGATGTAGCTCCAGGGCTTGTGCAGGAGGCTGGTAAGGGCAGGAGCACATGTGTGGAAGAACAGCACTTGCTGCTGTTCTGTCCAGATGCAGACGCCGGACACTATAGAGCAGTGTCTGTGCACCCAGGGGAGCTGTGCCCAAAGGTACCGCCCCGCCCCCCTCCCTCCCCTTCCAGCAGAGACCACTCCCAGGAGACTCCCTGAGCTCCAGGCAGAGGCCCTGGGCCACACCCTCCCACAAGGTATGGTGTCGGGGGCACTGCCACAGGTGCAGTGCTCAGGTGTGGGGAACGCAAGAGTGTGGCCTGGAGGCTGCTGTTGTAGTGTGCCGAGCTGCGTGGAGGCTGGGAAACGTGTCAAACTGGGTTTCAGCCTACAGCAGAGTGCCTGGTGTTGTTGGCTGGACCCCGGCCAAGTAGCTCACAGCCTGCCCAGCAGCAGTGGACCAGAGGTGTCAGAAGCAGCCAGGGCACCCTCTGGAGACCTTGGTTGTGGCATCAGTTAGGGAGTATCGATGGTGCTCGTTGAGGTTTGATCCATGACCGGGAGAGTTCTGGGCACTGATTTGGGTTGGCCTGGGTGCAGGGAGGGGTTCTGACAGAGAATCCCACACCTTCCCCACCTCTTAGATGGGGTCACGGTGCTGAGTGTGGGGGTCACAGGAAATTTGGCAGCAGTAAAAGGTTTCTTAGTGCGTCTGACCAAAATGGAATACGAGTCGAGCCTTGCAGTGTCGGGGAGTACTTGCCAGGTGATTCTCTGGGGAGAGAGGCCATGGCAGATGGCTTGCATGAGAGCAGCCATGCCGAGGCCAGGAACCTACACACAGGCTTTTCACAGGCCTGAGAGGTAGGAGGACACATGGGTTTCCAAGTAGCCCCTCGTGGCTTTGAGCTATAGGTCAGGGGCTTCAGGGTGCAGCCCGTGTCTCGCAGTGACCCCAAGTTCCCACTGGTGTGCTCCCTGTCACTTGGTTGTTTGAAGGGCTTTCTATTTCAGATGAGGGGGAGATCTGGCCTGTCTTTTTTAAAAATTGTTAATTATAGCCCTGTGATTTACCAAGTTGTTCATAATATAGTAGTTTCAGGCCTTCAATATTCCAACACCAATCCCAACATCCGTGTCACCTTCCTTCCATCCACTGATGTCCCCAGTTTCCCACCCAGTACCCCAGACTGCCCCCTTGCAGGCACAACTAGATTTTTCATATGGTTTGTTATAACACAAAGGAAAATGGAATCATCAAATCTTAGATCAATAGTAGTCAATTTGTGGTAATTGTATCTCAGTGGTGTTACTGAAGTCATTACCTGAGGGTCTACCTTGCTGGTTAGTGCTAGTTGAGCGTCTTCGTTATTGTTTGGGCTCTGAGCTCGGTGGGCTTCTGTGTGACTTTCCCATCTGATTTGCTGTGGTCCTGCTGGGCTGACAGCACTGGGAAAGTTTGAGGTATCCACAAGCTGGACACTTCGGTGGCTCGGCAGCTGGATGTCGCTCAGTTGTGGAGCTGACATTTCTATGTCAGAGGGTGTCAGGTGTGGTTGCGGGCTGCTCTGCCTTCAGGCGGAAGGGGGATCCAGCTGCCCCCATTCTGAGCAGGCCCCAGAGTTCTCAGTCAGTCTACCTGGGAAGGTTCAGAGTCATCATGTTCTTTTGAAGATGTGGCGCTGGGTTGGTGCTGTGGCTGTGCTGCACCATGGAGGCCTGTCCTGTGTGAATAGATGCAGATGGTGGGTTCTTTAGTTTCTGCCCTGGGATCACTGTGTGTGTCTGTCTCTCTGTGTCTGTGTGTACATGGTATGTCCAGCATATGCCCTGGTGTTATCCCCGGTGCTATGCTCCCACCAACGCCCCTAGGGAGGGATGGAATCTTCTCCTTGCCCGGACAGTGCTGGCTCTGGGGCCGTGGTCCCCTGTATGAGCAGACTCAGGAATGTGTGGGTGTGCCGCTGATGCCTGTGTCTTGCCTGTTCCCAGTTCCAGTGTGACGGCCTCTCAGCCGCCGGAGTCGCTGCCGCAGCCGGCTTTGCAGAAATCTGTCTCCAGTTTACAGAAGCCGACGCAGTCGACCAGTCAGGAGGTAGGCGCACACATGGGCAGCCCTGGGCTGGTGGGCCTGGGGAGGTGCTTCCAAGTCCTGGTCTCACTGCCTTGCAGTGAGCTTGCTCAAGCCTATGACCCTGTGTGTGCTCCGTGGAACTTGGTGTCCAGGAGAGCCACAGAAGATGGAGGCTGCTGGGGAATGTGTCCCTCCTTGGCCATCTCTGCTGTCAGTGGGCCGCCCTCCCTGGGAGCCATACTTGGCCACAGCTCTGAGAACACCCTCTGTGCTGTATTTGATGATGTGATTAGAATGGGACTGAGAGATGTTACAGCAGGCAGGGCTGCCAGGCACCCTGGGTTTGAGCCTTGATGCTACCTATAGTTCCCGAGTGACTGCCAGAAGTGACCACTGAGCACTGATCCAGGAGTAAGCCCTGAGCACCCCTAGGTATAAACCACATACCAAAAAAAAAAAAAAAAAAAAGAAGGAAGGCTTTCTTTACAGCACCAGATGCAGTGCTTTGTATTCACCTGCACCTTGGCCTCCCTGTCTGTGGGGACAGTTTGTGACTCGCCCTCCAGCCGAGCTTTGGGGAGTTAAGGCAGAGAGAATGCCATGCTCACAGCTCCTGCCTGCTGCCCCGGGCCCTGACCAGTGGAGCACAAGAGCTGCACTTGTGTCTGGCTTCTTGAAACGAAGTGAGACTTTGGGGCCACAACTGCGGTACTTGGGGCCTGACTGCTTCCAGTGGTGTCCGGGACCCTGCAGTGCCAGGGCTAGATTGAACCCCGGGTGCAGCAAAGTGCAGCTGGGCTAGAAGCCCACCCAAGGCCCTGTGTGGCACCCAGTGCAGGTGGCCTCCTCTGCTTTCTGATGTGGAGTGGCAGAAGCTGGCCAAGTATTAGTCTCCCTTTGTGTGCTGCCCATCCTGTTCTCATTCTCTCCAGTCCAGCGCCTGGGGGAGGGCAGGCTGAGGGGAGCAATAGCTCCCTCAGGTGGTCTTCGTATAGAGACAAAGACCTGGTCTCTACTGGTCTAACCTGGTCTCTGCAGGGCAGCTGGAGGGAGTGACCTACTCCCCTGGCCTCTGCAGGATGGCCCTGAAGCTTCAGGCCGCCTCTCATAGGCCAGCCTTGCCCAGCACTCGGGGAAATGAAGAGAAAGAAACCAGAGACCAGATAAAGGCCAAACAGGCTTCCACATGTGGCGGCAGGTGGCTAGAGGAAGTGACCATCTAACCTGGCCTCTCCAGGGTGGCTGAAGGAAGTGACTGTCTAACCTAGTCTCTGCGGGGCGGCTGGAGGGAGTGACCGACTCACCTGGCCTCTGCAGGATGGCCCTGAAGCTGCAGGGTATTGCTGTGGGGAGACACAGGAGCTCAGTGGTCAGGGCTGGCAGCAAAGGTTTTGGACAGAGGCAATGAATGTGGGGACAATCCTGGCTCTGTCTTTTTTGCTGGACCTTGTCACCCCTGGGAGGGGAGAGGACCTCCTCAGAACAGGAGAAGTGTGCACGTGGAGGAGTGCTGGGGCCACGTGGTGATGGTGCTGCTTCTTCAGGTGACGCTGGCACGATTTCTCAGATGTTCTGAATCAGGGTGTGGTCTCTGTCTCCAGAGCCAGACCAAGCAGTGCTGTTATTCTGGAGCCCCGGGCAGTGTGACGTTGAGCTGCGTGCCTGGCTATCCTCCCTCCTGGGCTGCAGCTGGCAGGGGCTCTGGGGTACCAGCCTTGGGCTGGGAGCTGAACGAGGGGGCAGGGGGCAGGTGCCTGTTGCTCGTTCTCACAGATCTGGCACCCTCAGTGATGGAGCCCCCTCCTGTGCTTGTCCTTTCAGAGTACAAATTCAGTGCCAGGTGGACCAAAGTCATGGGCACAGCTGAATGGAAAGCCAGCAGGACACGAAGGTGGTAAGTGTGGGGGTACGGGCAGTGGTGCCCCTTGCATGTCAGCCTAAAGCTCGGGGCTGGGCATGCTGTGGGGACGGAGACTCTCTGGGTTGCCGAGGATACTTGGAGGGGCACACTGGGTCACTGCTGCTCAGCTGGGTGCTGGCCCATCCTTCCTCTCTGGTGCAGGGCCTCAGGTGCACGTTTCGATGCAGGGGTCTTGCCTCCATGTTTTCCTCCATGAACTCCTATGGGGGCTCTGCTGCTGCCCGGGACCAGGCAGTGCCTGGCATTGTCAGTCTCTGCATGCACTCTAGCCCTTAAGGGAGTGTGCGAATGTCTGGCCCAAGGGCCATGTGGGACCCACAAAATATATGGTCAGGCCCTGGTCCATGGTGGGCAGCCACATGCTGCTCATCTTGGCCTGTCTGGTTATATTTCAGACACCACAAGTGACGTTTTCCAAATAGCCAAGTGGCCTTACCCCTGCCAAGAATCTTCTTTCTCGCCCCAGTTATGGTTCTGGAACAAAATGCTCAGTTTATGATGTAAAAGGGCATCTTGATACTATTCTGGCTAGGTTTCTGGGATCTGTGTTAGCCTGGGGGCAGGGATAACCTCCCAGTGGCCCTGCAGGTGCCTAGGGGCCATTCCCAGCAAGACTGCCTGGTTCCGTTGGGGCCAGCAGTGCTGGGGAAACAAGAGCCACCCTGGTGGTGCCAGGAAGCGAGCAGGGCCTCTGACCCTTTGGGTCATCTTCCAGCCCCCCCGAGATGTATTCTTAAGGGGCTAAAATAGTGCAACGTATGTTGCCATTTGTCCAGAGAATCAGGCGAAGACAGTGCATATCTCCAAGTATTGTGAAGGCATCAAATCCATCTTGAAGGGGCAGGAGGCCAGGGTTCAATCCCAGCAGCACCAGGAGCACTGTTGGGTGTGGCCTCCCCGTCCAGAAGCCAAATAGAAACAACGCTGGGAAGGAGGCGGTGTGGGCGAGGGGGAGGCTGCTGCGAGAGCCCCGCCCTCTCTTGTTGGAAAGACTCCCTCGGGGCCAACCCGCCTCGTGCTTCCCAGCCAGCCCAGCTGGGTGCCACTGTTTCCGGGGCTCACCTGGGCCGCCCTCAGCTCGACTTGGCAGTGTTGGCAGCGGGGACACGGAGAACCAGGTGCCCGGGATCTAAGCAGGCCCCATGAGCGTTTTCTTTGAGGATGTCGGTGGGGGGCGGGGAGGCGGGGCACAAACAGGAACAGGAGCAGCGCTTGGTCAGTGACCCTGGACCTGAGGGTCGGAGCCCCCATCAGAGCACAGCGACGGGAACCCCGGAAACCGAGGGCTGGGCGTGAGGCTTGGGTCCTTCCTGCCGGGCACTGGCAGTGTTCCTGGTCAGAGTGTGGGGCTCCTGCTCCCGTGCTGGCCCTGAGAATGCGCGACTGAGTGTTGCCCACGCATCAGACGGCAGCTGCTGGCTCCTGAGCTGCGGGAGCGCAGTCAGAGACAGGGCCACGAAGGATCATGCTGGGAAGGACTCTTGCCCAGATTACAGGAGCAAAGGGGCACTGGAAGAAGTGTGGGGAGTGGGCTTCCTGAGTGGGGGACAGCACAGAAGCCAGAGGGACCCTGGAGGCGTGACCTCCACGTGGGCAGGGCAGCCCTTTGCTCTGCCCCTCCAGCAGCAGGAGCTCTCAGCCTCCTCGTATCGGAGTCCTGCTCTTCCTGAGTCCCTGGGCAGCTCTGGAGGCCAAGATGCGCCCCTCAGCGCCTGGGGTCTCTCTGCCAGCACAGGTCCTGCCTATTGTATTCATGGTTTTCTATTTTCTCGGCAGGTTTAAGGGGCTCAAGCCGACTGTTATCCTTCTCTCCCGAGGAATTTCCGACGCTGAAAGCAGCTGGCGGGCAGGACAAGGCTGGCAAAGAAAAGGGCGTCTTCGATCCGTCGTATGGGCCAGGACCAAGCCTCCGCCCGCAGAGTAAGTGCGCTCGGCCCGTCCGGGTCCCCGCCAGCAGAGTGGCCCTGTCCTTCTGCTAGAGCAGGCTGCTTGCTGTTCAGACACCCAGCACTGCGGGCCAGTCAGTGCCCCGCCCTGATCTCTCATCTGCTGTGAGTCCCGCTGGAGAGGAGTCACCCCTGCCTCTCTGTGCCCGCCCAGCCTTCCTCACAGTGGCTTCGCTGCATCCAGGGAGTCAGGCAGGATGGATGGATGGACTGATAATGATAGAGCAGGGCTGCTCACTGGGAGCTTTGAAGCCCGATTCCTAACCCTCCTAGCCAAAGGAGACTCTGTTCCCACTCTCTGTGTGGAGGTGTCTGGGCTTGCTCCCTTGATTGGGTGCTGACACCCTGGTGCTGGGACTGCGGGGATCCTGCACTCAGTGAGGGCTGGGGACAGAGCCACAGGCACCTCTCCACAGTCTCACCTTGAGCCATGGCCTTTAATGGTCAGGCCGGACAGTGAGCCTATGGTCAGCAGGACCATGCAGCAGTACTTGGTGGAGCTGGTTTTTGTTGGTGGGCCTGGTGGGCTGAGAATCAGGTGAGGGCTGGGAGCTGATTCCTGGACCCCCACCGCCATTCCCCCACTGTCTGGAATGATCCCTGAGCTCAGAGTTGGGAGTCAGTGTTGAGTGCTGCTAGCTGTGACCCCAAAATCAAAACCAAAAGCAAACAACGGGTGAGGTGAGTTTAAAGATGAGATATCCGCCTCTTGCCCCACTCAGGGATTCTCACTTGGCACATACATTTTGGTGCCAACTTGAATCGGTCTTGAAATAGAAAGGGGTCCCTTCCCTGCCTTAATGGGTCCCTGGAGGGGACCAAAGCCAGGGCTGCTGTCCCAGCAGTGAAGGTACTCGTGGACTCTGCATGCACACACCCGTTCCTGCTAGCTGCAGGTGCATTCCCAGTAGCCACACGCATGTCCTTATAGCCACTGTGGCTGCTTTTGTGCCCTCCAGACCAAGAACCATAGAGCTGCGACCAGGGTGAGGTTTCCTAGCAGACCTGTAGGAACTCGGCTTTAGAAGTCAGCTCCATCTCATTTGAGAAGACAGGAAAAGGCCCAGGGGGGTCCCTAGGCTGGGCGACCAGAGACCATGCAGAGGGGACTGAGTTATATTGTGTAAAAGCTTGATTTTGTAGCTCCTCTGTGGGGTCCCTTTTTCTTTGGGGATGAGCCGGGACCGCCTGGTTTCAGTGTCTTAACCCAGAGTATGAGAGGGGTCCAGTGTCCCTCATTTTGTGTTGGCCAATAATTGGCAGAGGCATGTGGACTGGTTTCCCCAGCCCCACTGCTCTGAGAGCAGCAGGGTCTACTCTCCGTGTGGACCCCCCAGGAATGCACCCTGGGTGCAGAGTACAAGTGCTGACTGTGAGAGCTACTCATTGCTACCCGATGGGATGGTCCCAGCTGTTTCCAGGGGGCCTCTGGATCTCTCAGGAACCGGATCTTGTGAGCCCATGGAGACTGTACCTTGCTGCCCCACCTACACCAGGGCCTTGTTCCTCCTCTCCCAGCCCCGAGCCTCCAGCAGGCCCACACTCCCTGCCCCGGCCCTGTCCCTCGCTCGCAGCCTTGATTAGCCCTGGCCCCTTCACTTCTCGTATTGTTTTCTGTTTTTGGTGAGTGAGGGAGTCCCTTGACCTTCAGAACCTCATGCGATTCCTCCCCTACCCCTCTTTCCTCTCCCCTTTTGCCCCTTTCAATTTCCAGATGTGACAAGCTGGAGGGAGGGCGGTGGGCGAAACATAGTCTCTGCCACGTCTCTGAGCGCCTCCCCCACTGAGCTGGGCATCAGGAACGCGAGTGCGGGAGACGGAGCCCCCTCCTCGGCATGCACCAGCGGTTCTAAGGACCCCTCTCTCCGCCCGGCTCAGCCTGTCCGCAGAGGGGCTTCACTGTTCACGGGGAATGTGTACCACCCACCTACATACCATGACATGCTTCCTGCCTTTGTAAGTCTCCAGAGTGTGCATTTCTGTCATGTCCAGCCCGGCCTGCTCCAGGGTTGAGTGCTCACCATGGGGTCTCCCTCCTGGCCCTGATACCCTCGTGTGTAGGGGCCTGTGAATTTTGCATTTTCTCTCCCCCTCTTCAAATATTAAGCACCCCTAATTTTCTTCCCCGTGATATGGCTATTATTTATCCTTATTCTTTAGGAAAAGGAGAGGCAGGCAGCCCCCAAGTCCCCCCGCCCCTGACATGAGTGCCCAGTATTCTCGTATTTTCTCACTGACAGCAGGAAAAAAGTGGGGGATTTGGTGGCAGGGTTAATTGTGGGAACCCCAAGACTTTAACTTTTTTTTTCCACTTCGGAAACAAATTCTAATGTGACTGGTACTTCAAGATGACCCATTGCCAGAAAACCTTGTTCATTGATGCTGTGTTTCAGATGTGCTCGCCACAGCCATCAGAGAACCAGGGTACAGTGGAACGAGGATCTTTCCCCCTTCCTCAACTCCGCCTTGAACCCCGTGTTCCTTTTAGGCAGTTCCAGATGAATGACCAAGATGGGTAAGGCCCCTGCTTCCCGGGCGCACGCAGTGCAGAATGAGCTGCAGGCTGTGGAGAGCACAGCAGCCAGAGCCCCCTCCCGGGCGGGCTGGGCCGGGCGGGCTAGTCCTGGCCCAGGTGATCCTTATGACTACGCCTGGGGCCTGGCACTGAGCACACACCCCTGCAGAGGAGGAACCCCGCATGGTTGGGTCACTGTAAAAAGGGACAGTCGAGCCCTTAGAGCGCTCGCTCAGTCGGAGATTCAGGTTCAATACTGGACACTGCGGGGTACCTCGGTCTGCTGGGAGTGACCACCGTGCACAGAGAGTGTCTCTAAGCTCCATCAGACAGAAACCCCAAAGCACAGGTGGCACAGCTGGGCCGGTGCTGGGGACCTGGTTCTGGAACAGTGCTGGGATCTGCCCCTGCCCGTGTCTGGCACTGAGCCTGGCCCCTCTGTGTGCCCCCCAGGAAGGAAGGCCGACCGGGGCTGACCCGGCCGGTGCGCCCACTGCGGCAGCTGGTAGAGCGCGCACCCCGGCCCACCATCATCAACGCCGAGAACCTGAAGGGCCTCGACGACCTGGACACGGATGCCGATGACGGCTGGGCAGGTGGGTGAGACCCTGGTTCTGGGGTGCGCAGGGCTGACCAGGGAGCGATGTGCAAGCCGGGAGACCCTCAGCCTGCTGTGTCCTTGATACTGGCAGCAGGGCGCCCCTCTGCCTGGTTTGCGGTCTGCCTGTCTGGTCTTGACATTAGGGCTTTCCGGAGCACATTTTCTCAAGGAAAACTCCCCAGCTGCAGCGAGCGCTGCCTTCCCGCTGGGCCTTGGCTCTGAGGAGGTAAAAAGCGCTCACCTTCTTTGGACGCAGTGTTGGGTTGGGTTCTGGGAGGCATCTGGGCCACACCCAGTGGTACGCAGGAGCCGTCCATCCCCAGCTCAGTGCTTGGGGGTCACTCCCGGGAGTCCTCCAGGGACCGTGAGGTGCCGGGCCTCGGCCCCTGGGAAGGGACACCTGTGTCCCATGCCCTTGAAATGGAGAACTCCCCATCGCCCCTCCAGGAAGTGCCCAGCCTCTCTGCAGCCTAGTTGACCCTGAGCACACTGTGCACTCGCTTTGCCTGAGAGGGACAGCAGCAGGTGGGCTGGCCAGCACACGCGTCCCTCCTCTGAGGGGCTCTCTTCAGTGCTGAGCTGCCCTGATCTGCCAGCACGGAGCTTCCGCCGGGCACTGTCACTCCCTCCTCTGTGGGTGCCGAGTGGCTGTGCTCTGGAGCAGCCACCCCAGTCTTTTTCCTGCACCTGTGCCGTTCGCTCTGTTGCCTGAGGGTTGTGTGAGAAGGGCCACGTTCTCATGCTCGTTTTTTAATTTTAGCCGTTGTTGGTGGGTGTGGGTGGAGCTCGGTGCTCCTGTGTGCCTTCTGCCGATGACTAATGCTCAGCGCCTCTCTGCCTGCTGCTTGCTCTCTGGCGCTTGAGATGCCTAATTTTTTTGATGGGGGGAGGGGGCCACATGGACTGTGCTCAGGGCTTACTCTGTGCTCAGGGATCATGCCTGGCGGACTTGGGGACCCATATGGGGTTCCGGAGATGGAACCCATGTCAGCCACGTGCCAGGCAAATACTCCCCGCTGTGACATGGCTCCGGCTCCTGTTTTGTTTTTAATTGGGTGGTAGGAAGCAACCCATTTGCTGCATGTATTTCATAAGTGTTTCTTCCTGTTGTCACTTTTTCGGTGTTGGGTTTTGATAAGCTTTTATTTCTGATGATGTTTGGTTCAAACTCATGAGCCTGCATTTTATGTTTTTTATTTCTGTGTTCCATCTGAAATTTCTTGTCTTCCCCTTGGTGGTAAAACTGCTTCTTTGTCTTTTATCATTTTCTCAAATATTCTGGGGTCTCTGACTCACATTCAGCTCATGTCAGGTGTCAGGCAGGAGCAGGGTTTGTCTCCTCTGACGGTATCCTGCGGGGGTGTGCCCAGTGCTGGTGGGGCTCGCTGTTCCCTCCATGGATCGGCCTCTGTCTCTTCGATCACCTGTGTTGGTTCCCTTCTCTGATTCTGGATGACTTCCTTTGTTTCCCTCTTGTGAGGGCTCACAGAAGGCTGGTTTGGGTTCTGCTGTGTGGGTTCCTCTCCCAAAAGGCCCCTTAGCTTTGACTCTTGCAGCCAGAGCAGGGGTGGGGGTGGGGGTGGGGGTGGGGTCATACCCAGTTGTGTACGGGGCTGTTCTCTGCTCAGTGCTCAGGATTGAGCTGGGATCCCACAAGCTCCCCACCACCTTGCAGCTCCCCTGCCCTTCCTGCCCCTGTGTGGCCTTCACAGAGTTGAAGTATGTTCAGTTTCTGCATCCCTGATTCAAGAGGGACATCAGAGCCCCTACATGAAGTGGGTGGAAAGTACCTGGTATTTGGGGATTTTAGTTTGTTTGGGGGCCACACCCAGCAGTGCTCAGGGGTCACTCCTCGATCTGCGCTCAGGCAACACTCATGGTGGTACTCGGGATCCTATGGGATGCCGGAAATCGAACTCCCGTTGTCCATGGACCAGGCAAATACCCCTCCTGCTGTCCTATCACTCTGGCTCCCCTGGCAGAGCTTTAGACCATTTGTGGCGCAAGGGTTGAATCGGAGTCATGAGAACAGCAAGTGCTTTTAATTTTTAAGCCTTGTGCCGTCTTTCTGATCCTGAAGATTTTTTTTTCCAGACGTGAATTTGCATTCTTGGATAAACCTTTACCTTTCTAACTGCTCCAGTTCAGTGGGCTATTAATGTCCTTTAGCATCTGTGATTATGATGAACATGTCTGTAAATTTTCTGTTAATATCTTTTGAGGTTTCGTATCAGGTTATACTGGGCTCATTTGATGAGTTGGAAAACATTCCTTCTCTAATTCCTAAAAGCATTTCAGTAAGATTGATGTTTGTTCTTTCAAAGCAGTTTGGCACTGGAATTTCCTTTGTGGAGAGAGACATTTTTGACAGTAAATTTGATGTGCTTTGGCTGGAGATATGGCTAAAAGTGTATGAGATCTGGGTTCAATCCCTGGCATGGCAAAAAAAAAAATCTGTTAGTTTTGTGGGCTTGCGTATGTGACCCTCATTGTCCTCTGGATGTTTTGGGGTCTGTAGTGAGCCTTCTTCACATCTGTGAAACTGGTAGTTAGTCATTACTTTCTTTTTTTGCTTCTGACAGAGGTTTGCTCATTTCTGTTCACCTGCACGGAGAGCCAACATTTGTCTCTCTTGCGGTTTGTTTTCTATTTCATTGTTTCGCGCATCTTAATTGTTGGGACTTTCAGATTTCTGACTTGCCTTCATTATTGCTGGACACATACTTCTGTTATTTTCAACTCCATTGTTTTGATAAATCCTTTGATCTTGTGATATTTGCTTTGTGCCCAGGATATGGTCAGCCTGGGTGTTGTCCCCTGTGTGTATGTCCCGCAGTGATGGGGGGTGTTGGGTTTTGCAGGCCTTGCTGTGGTCAGGTGGCAGTAAGAGTGAGTGCTGTCAACCGCTCACTGGAAGGTGGGATGCTGACTCCCACTCCAACTCGGGATTGGCATTTCTCTTTCATCTGGGGTTTTGTGTCCCTTTTGTGTGTGTGCGGGGGTTGGGGGGGAGGCACACCTGGTGATGCTCAGGAGTCACTCCTGTTGGGCTCAGGGGACCATATGGGATGCCCTCCCTGCTGTCCTGTCTTTCTGACCCTCCCTCTTTCCGGGGACACCCCTGTTGGTGCTCAGGCCTTTCTCCGGTCTCTGTGCTTAGGCTAACTCCTGGCAGTGCTCAGGGGACCATATGCGGTGCCAGGGAGCAAACCAGGCCTGGCTGTAGAATACGAGTACAGAGCCTTATCCCCTGTCCCATCTTTCTGGCCTGGATAAAGCAGCATTTTTTGTTTGTTTTTGTTTTGGGGCCGTACTTGGTGATACTCAGGCATTATTCCTGGCTCTGCACTCAGGGATCATTCCTGCCAGGCTCAGGGGACCATTTGGGGTACTGGGGTCAAACTTTGGTTGGCTGTGAGCAAGGCAAAACCCCTCTCTGCTATTTCTCTGGCCCTAAAAGAACCTTCCATTTCTTTTTCATTTATTTTGAATGTAGGGTTTGAACCTAGGACCTCAAACATGCAAGAGAAGTGCTCTGCTGCTTGTTTATACCCTTGAGGCTGTATTATATTTTATATATATATATATATATATATATATATAGTCCCGTACTGTTGATCCTGGGCTGGAGCGATAGCACAGCAGGTAGGGCATTTGCCTTGTACACAGCCTGCCCGGGTTCGATTCCTCCGCCCCTCTCAGAGAGCCCAGCAAGCTACCAAGAGTATCTTGCCCGCACAGCAAATCCTGGGAAGCTACCTGTGATGTATGCCAAAAACAGTAACAATTTGTTGTGAGATGTTACTGGGGCCAGCTTGAGCAAATCGATGAACAACGGGAGGACAGTGCTACAGTGCTGCTCTTGGACCTGCTTCTTACTTTATTTTATATTTTCACAGCTTGTCTGGATTTTCCAGTCATCTGTGTTTTTGTTGGGGACAGAGGTGGGGGGGTGGTACGGGGTGCTGGGCCCACCTGCGGTGCTCAGGGCTCGCTCCTAGCTATGAGCTCAGGGATCACTCCTGGTGGGGCTTGGGGACTATAGGGTACCAGGGATCAAACCCGGGTCAGCCGCATGCAAGGCCAGCCCCTTCCCCAGGGTCTCTTGCTCCGGCCCCTTGTGTGTAATTAGGTGCTCATCAGATGGACAGCGGACAGCAGCACCGACCTTGGCAGTGCCTCTGCTGCCTTGCAGTGAGATTGGACTTTCTGTAGCAGTTTCCGTTTTTTGGCAGGGCGAGGAGGGATCCAAAGCAGAGCTCAGGCCACCCTTGGTGCCAGAGACTGTACTTGGTCCGTCCGCCAACCTTGTTGCTATCTCCCTGGCCATGGCTTCATTTTCTTGATACTGCATTAAGAAAATTTCTATGACACAAAATTTACCCCTTTAAAAAAACCTACAATTTGTTGATTTTAGTATATTCAGTAGTGCTTTCAGCCATCATTGGTACCCAGTTCTGTACCCTTTCTATCATTCACAGACGGAAACCCTGTTTCCGTTTGTGGTCACGCTCATTGACGCTGCCACATACTGATGGCCTCTGGACAGGTCACATAAAGGTGTCCACATGTGCCTGTGTGGGGCAGGGTTCCAACCAAGACTCACTCACACTCTCTCTCTCTCTCTCTCTCTCTCTCTCTCTCTCTCTCTCTCTCTTTCTCTTTCTCCCCCACTCCTCCCTCCATTCCTCTCCTCCCCCCCTCAAAAATTTTGTTTTTTTGCGATACTCAGGGTTTACTCCTGCTCCTGGCTCTGCACTCAGGAGTCATTCCTGGTAGTGCTTAGGGGACCGTACGGGAGGCTGGGGATCAAACCCTGATCTACACGTGCAAGGCTAGCACCCTCCCTGCTGTGCTATTGCTCCGGTCCAGTACTCATTCTGTTTTATGGTCCAGCAGGATCGGAGTACTATGTCATTGTGTTCTGTCTCCCGGATTTGTGACACTGCCTTGGAGTGTCCTGGGCAGAGGGACGGTGTGTCTGAGCCTCTGGAGAAACTGTGGTCCGGGGACCCCACTCCCCTGCTTGCTGTAGTGGGGCCTGGCGTTCGTGGCACAGTTGACAGTTTCATCTTTCTTTTCCCTCGCTCCCGCTCTAGGCCTCCATGAGGAAGTAGACTATTCCGAGAAGCTGAAGTTCAGTGATGATGAAGAGGAGGAGGAGGTGGTGAAGGATGGAAGGCCAAAATGGTAAGGAGCCAAGGAGTTGCAGAGCCGCACGCTTGGGCTGTCCGAGCGCCCATGCCTGTGTACTCCTCGGTGCCCTGGGGCAGGTCAGCCGGTGGGTCTATTCTGTGGCCATAAGGACAGCAAGGACCTATACCAGGTCTGCCTGCAGGCATGGCGCTGCCTGTGTGCCCCACTTGCCCCGGCGGGTGTCAGCTGCCCGTCCTGCCGGTGGGCTTCCTGGGGTCGTTGCCAGAATGGCCCCGGAGCCAAGCATGATTGGGTCCTTGGGTGCCACTTGCCCTTGTGCTTCAAGGTCACTGGGACAGGACATGTGAGGGGACAAGCCCATGCTTGGGGGCAGTATACTGAGCAGTGAGTGCTGGACCTGGAGTGTCCTCCGTGGAGGGGCACTGGGCTCATCAGGTTTGGCTTTTTGGTTTTTTTGTTTTGTTTTGTTTTTGATTTTTGGGCCACAATTGGTAGTGCTTAGGGCTAGTAGTGCTTGGGCTCTGCGCACAGGGATCACTCCTGACAGTGCTCAGGGGACCGTGTGGGATGCCAGGAATCAAACCTGGGACAGCTTAATGCAAGGCAAGTGCCCTCCCTGCTGTACTATCGCTTTGGCCCCTCTCTGGATTTTGTTTGTTTTTGGGCCACATCCACAGGGCTGGAGCGATAGCACAGCGGGTAGGGCGTTCGCCTTACAAGCGGTCAACATGGCCGACCCGAGTTCGATTCCTCCGCCCCTCTCGGAGAGCCCGGCAAGCTACCGAGAGTATTCGATATGCCAGACACAGTAACAACAAAGTCTCCAATGGAGACGTTACTGGGCCCGCTCGAGCAAATCGACGATCAAATCCACAGTGCTCAGGGGTTACTCCTGGCTCTGCACTCAAGAATTTCAGGGCACCATATTGGATCCCAGGGATTGAATCCAGGTCCACAGAGTGCAAAGCGAGCTCACTACCCTGTGTGCTATCTCTCTGGCTCCTTTTCTGTCTGTTTTAGAGACTCATTTTACTCATGCCCTCTGGAAAAGACCCCATATAGACCAACCATCTTCTTTTTCTCATAATGCCAGTGATTGCAGCTAGTCCTTTACTGCCTTCACTCACTATTGGGGGGCAGTGGGGCCAGCTCATACAGTGTCGGGTTTGAGTCTGGGGCTCCCACATGTGCTGCAGACCTTCAGGCAGTCTCCTCGTGTGGACTCAGGCGTGGCTCTGCCTGCTGGGCCCCTGACTATCTGAGACGGCCATGTCTAGCCTGGGGGTCGCTGTTGACGCCAGGGTGTCTGCAGAGGAGCACAGCCCACCCCTTTCTGCTCACAGAGCCCTCCCAGGGCTTGTTGGAATCCCCCTCTCCATTCTTTGCTTCGTGCTCCCTTGTGGCCCCTCTGGTGAGGCAGCTTTTGCTATTTTTTGTTTGTTTGTTTTTGTTGTTGTTGTTGTTTGCTTTTTGGGTTACTCCTGGCTCTGCACTCAGGAGTTACTCCTGGCAGTGCTCAGGGGACCATATGGGATGCTGGGGATCGAACCCGGGTCGGCCGTGTGCAAGGCAAACGCCCTACCCGCTGTGCTATCTCTCCAGCCCAAGCTTTTGCTATTTTGAGGAGACTGAATTGAGCACAGAGCAGAGCTGATGTCAGGAGGGGGCCCTTGGTGTGGGAGTGCTGGGACAGATCCCGGAGCTGCTCCCCAGCCTCGCCCCGGCGCGCTTCCCACGGCGGGAAGCAGGAAGAGGAGTGGAGGCGAGACAGCCCCCCCACGCTGTGCATGCGAGTGTGGCCTGGCCACTGGCACTGGCATGCGGGCGGGCCTTCCTGCCATGTCCATCCTGGCTCCTCCATAGGAGCAGCAGCTGGGCAGCCCCCGTGGGTTCTCACTTGTGTGCTGCAGGGACACTGATACCGGGCCGCTTCTCCTAGGGACGGCTGGGAGCCCGGAAGGCAGCGGCAGCTGTCCATGAGCTCCGCAGACAGTGCTGACACCAAGCGTGCCCACGAGGATGGGAAGGACTGGGGCGATACTGCAGGTGTGACCCGGCTCATCCGGAAGATGCCGGAGCCTCAGCCACCTTCGAGGAAGCTTCATGGCTGGGCGTCAGGCCCTGACTGCCAGGTACTCAAGCACCGGGGTGGGGGGGGACGCGTGGCACACATGGGCACCGGGCTTAGGGGTTGCCTTGCACACAAGGCATGGGCAGAAGTGTCACTCTTAGAGCTCATAGCAATCTTGTAAGAGTGGGAGAATCGCAGCCTTGAGCAGGCGTGAAGTTTCCTGAGCCAGCAGAGCATCTCCGCACAGAGGCAGCACTCCTGCTCTCGGCCAAAGTGCTCATCATTCCACAGGCCCCCAGGCTTCTGCTCTGCCCGCTGCCCACCCCCCGCTCCTGGACAAGTGTCTCTGTATCTGGGTAGTGGCTGCCTCCTGCTGCCTAGCTCTGCTGTCTGTCCTGTTCCTGTTAGTCCCTGATACTTGGGGTGGGAGACAGTCCTGTGACCTGTGGAATGTGCTTTGGATCAGCTTGGCGCGGTCCTTGTCAGTGATCAGGTTCAAGGCTTGCTTTCTGGATGGAGTCCCGGGAAGTGCTCCCTAACACTGCAGGGGCAGGGGTTCACTCTGCTCTCTGTAGCAGGGTGCCTCTGTGTATGCTCCCCGAGTGGGAAGGATGGAGCCAGGTGGTGGGAAGGTGGCCTTGAGGCTTTGAATATCCTGTTTTTATCCAACTGCTCACTGATATCTCTTTCAGTGAGTTGTCAATTGTTATTGGAAGCTTAGATCACTTTGGCCCCCAAATCACCCCTTAGGTGTTCTGGTCACATGTGTGCTGTGGGAGTGGCCTTTTCTGGTCTCAGCAGAGGTGGGGGGTGCAGTGGCTACACACGCATCCCGCCTTACCACTCTGAGTTGTCTGTGCGTTCCTACACGGCCCTAGCTCCAGGCCCACGGGAGCTGTCTCCACTGTCTCTGACCTGCTGGATGTTGAGTATTGTCCCCTAGTGGCCCTAGTATCCCCACTCACTGGGGCAGTTCCTTCTCTGGGACAGGCCCCACATGCCTACCCGGGGGGACCCGCACCTTCTGGCTGGGCCATCTGTGCTTCTGAGGTGCTGGCTGGGATAACCCCATTGCGGGTACGCAGCCTGCTCTGCCCTGCGGGGCTCCAGGCCTCCCTTGAATTGTCACCTTTGAGACTTGCCTCATGGGGCAGAGACTAGGGCAGGAAAGTTGTTAGTCTGAAGACTCGTGCTACCACTGGCCACTTGCAGTGCCCTTTCCAGAGATACCTCCCATGTCTCGTCTTCTCAGATGAAAAGGCCCTTACGTTCGGGCTTTTACTGGCTCCGAATCACGTGCCAAGTATGGGGCCAGGGTGAGGAGGCCCAAGCGGAACAAAATAGAGATAATGCTACTCCTGGAAATTACCCTGCAATTCACTCAGATTGTCATTCCTGTGTCCGGTTTTACTCTGATCTGCTGATAACAGCACCACAAATTAACTGTCTTCAGTTCACAGAGATAAAATCTCTATAATTGTATGCATCCAAATTTCTATAGAGATAGTTGCCCTGCAGATCTGGAGCGGTTCATCTGTCAGATGCAGCTAATTCAGGCAGGTTGGGAGGGCGGCGAGTGTCCTCACGAGGCACAGGCCCTTCGGCTCTGCTCGTCCTCATAGGCAGGGCTGCTTCCATCGATGCTTGCAGGGAGGGCTGGCAGTTCAGGGCTCGGGCCGAAGTGCAGAGCTGCACCAGAACCCTCATGTGCTCTGTCGTGTGCTGGTCCTGATTCTGCTGTTCCACACCTAGGGAATTGTGCAGTTCAGGTTCCTCTGCCAGGTAGCAAGGGACACCTGGGGACAAGGACCAGGTACATGCCAGCTGACATTACTGGCAGAATCACGAGAGCCCAGCTGTTCGAGGTCAGAGGCCGCTTCCTGCATCACCGAGATGCCTGTCCTCTGAGGCCTGTGAGGAGTGGCTTTGGGAGAAGCACATTGCTCAGTGGACGTGGCACCCGTTGGTCTGTGGACTCACAGGCAGAGGGCCTGTACACCGGAGCAACCAGAGGCAGGGCCGGAGCCAGAGACCAATGGGGACGGCGCTGTCCTTGGACACAGCCAACTGAGTTTGATCCCCAGCACCCTTTAGGGTCTCCCGAGCCCTGGCCAGGAGCAATCACTGAACACAGAGCCAGGCATGAGCCCAGATCATTCCTGGGTGTGGCCCCAAAATCGAGGCCCTGAAACTTCCTTGTCCGGTTTTGGACCCCAGTTGGTCCTGCTCAGGGCTGCTCTGGTCCATGGCTGAAGGTGGTCCAGTAGTGTTCAGGAACCGACCTGGGCAGTTCACTCTTTGAGGTACCGCCTGCTCTAATTTATTTCTCTCGCAGTCCCATGTCATTGGCATTTCAGCAGTGTGAGCACTGTTTCAGAGCATCGGCAGCCCCGGGGGGAGCTGGCACAGTGCAGTGGACAGCAAAGCAGAGCCCCACCTGGTCCTGCTATCTCTGCTGCACTGCCTCAGACTGGCCCCGGGTCCTGGCTCTGACAGTGGGTTGTGACCAGCTCTTGCTCCTGGCAGAAGTCCTCTGCGGGCAGCATGTTCCGGCAGCAGTCTGTCGAGGACAAGGAGGACAAGCCGCCGCCTCGGCAGAAGTTCATCCAGTCTGAGATGTCCGAGGCCGTGGGCCGAGCCCGCCGGCGCCGGGAGGAGGAGGAGCGGCGTGCACGTGAGGAGAGGCTGGCCGCCTGCGCTGCCAAGCTCAAGCAGCTGGACCAGAAGTGCCGGCAGGCCCAGAAGGCGAGCGAGACCCAGAGGCAGGTGGAGAAGGAGGAGAAGGCGGCCCCGCAGGAGAACGGTCCAGCTGTTCACAAAGGTGGGTGCCGCGGTCAGCCCAGGCTGGTCTGCACATTGGGGTCTCCCCACTTCTTTGTGCGTGGATAGTCAGAGTGGTCACGAGCATCAGCCAGGGCCAGGTCTGCGCTCATGGCCTATTTCAGTGGCAGACCCGACCGCCACCGGCCCGGCTCTCCCAGTGCAGACCTCACTTTATCCTCATCCGTACACTTCTCTGGGCACGACCAGGGACTCGGGCACTGGGCAGCTTCTTGTTGCAGCAGGCGTACCTACTGGCCATGGCATCTCTGTCACTGTTTCTGAAGATGCCAGGGCAAGGGCCGGGCACCTCCCCTTTGAGGACCAGCAGCTTGTTGGGATGCGTGTTGCTGGCATCCGTGTGAAAGCAGTGGGCTGTCTGAAAGATGGCACCAGCTCCTGGCATTTCCTTGCATCAGGAACCTAGCCTGGGCAGAAACAGGGCTGATGTTAGCTGATGTTAGCTTTGCTCCCCGGAACCTTCCTCTGGGGCTCTCCTGGGGGTGTGAGGGTTGTCAGTGCCTTCTGACCTGTGGTGCTCCAGTCTCCAAGTGCAGTCTCCAGAGTAGAGGTCATGGACTGCTGGGTGGTATGCTTGATCGACCCTGGCCTCTGCCCTGGGCCTGGCTTGGCCTGCCTGCAGCCCACCACTCACGGCTGCCATGCGATTGCTTTGCCCAGTGCACAGTTGAGGATGTGGGTGGCAGCTCCACCTTGGTAACACTAGGAGGATGAGAAAGATCAGGGGCTCGGCACCTGGCTTCCTGAGCAGCACCATCCAGTGTAGCCCTGGTAGGCTTAAGCATTGCTGGAGAGGCTCTAAGCAGCAGTTGCAAACAAGTCAAAACAGGCAGAGGTCAACAGTTAAAGTGTGGCGACTGCATGATCCCCTGAGCTCTGCTGCATGTAACTAATCAGAACTAAAACAATTAAAAAGAAAAGTTGGACTAAGCAAGAAAGGGAGGAAGCAAGGAAGCAAGCTAGTTGTCTGGTACCGGTTAATGATTATGTCAGGCGTGCAGTCTGATATTGGCTAATGACAGTGTCAGGTGTTAGCACCTGTCTGATAGTGGTTAATGATTGTGTTGAGCATTCAGTACCTCTCCAATATTGTGCCAGGTGATCATCTGATATTGGCTGATGATTATGCCAAGTGACCAGTCTGATACTGGTTAGTGATTATGCCAGGCATTTAATCTGATACTGGCTAATGAGCCATAACATGGACTTTCTAGGGTAGGCACGTATGCATAAGGTCAGACACGTGCTTTGCACAAAGCAGACCCCTAGGACATCATGGCCCCACAAATACCATCAGGAGTGACCCTGAGTACAGCCTTGTCTGCCATTGTCACCCACATCCTGGTATTCGGCACTGCTGGGCATGACTGTGACACAGACAGAGCCATGGGTAATCTTCATTTCTCAAGAGGCCCTCCAGGAAACACTAGGGCACCGCCACATTCGTTCTGCCCTTAGGGTAGCAGAGTGGCCACTGGAGGCTGGTGCTATCTCTCTTCCTGATCGACCTCTCTCACGGGGTCAGAGCCCAAAGTGATGATGGTTATAGGAGTGCCGGGATCTTGCAGATCAGTGCCTGGGCCTGGATGCCAGCAGCCTGCCAGGGCTGAGTGTCAGCAGAGAAGCATTTGCCATGACGCAGGGAACACTGTGAGCTCACTGGGCCGTTTCTCTGCTCATTTGTCCTCCAGCGCCCCCTGAGTCCCCTGCCCAGGATGTCCCCAATGCACTTTCCGAAGAAGCCCCTGCAGCGCCTCCGGCTGTGGCTCAGAGTGGCAGCGGGGAGGCCGGTCCCCGGGAGGCAGGCTCCCCTGCCCAGGAGCCCAGCAAGTACCAGAAGTCCCTTCCGCCCCGCTTCCAGCGCCAGCAGCAGCAGCAGGTAAGGAGGGAGATCCATGTGTACCTGCCCTCTCCCAGGGAAGGAAGCTCCCTCACCCTGGCACCCTGGTGATGTGGGGGTCTACCTCAGACACACAAACCCTCTCGTGGGCTTTCCTGACACCTCTGGCCATGGCAAGGGAAGAGTATGCCCACTCCAAACTGCTGTCTCTGATCCAGGATCCCATCACGTGTAACGAGGACGGGTCAGTTGGGATGTGGTTTCCTGCCCCTGCTGTATTGCCGCCTTTGTCCCATCTCTGTTGGGGTCAGAGGCCTCGTCCATCCTAAGCAGCCCTAGAGCTGCCTGGGGCAGCCTTGACCAGCAGAGTGTCTACTGCTGGGATGGATGGGGCATGTGGACGCCACAGCCCAATGGTCACAGATGTTCCCCCTGGCTGGGGGACTGGCACAGGGCCCCGCCTCCCGTCCCAGACTCTCGAGCCTTCCCAGCCTTGTTTTTGGGTGGAGGCCCCTAGTAGCATCCCGGGAGCTATCAGCACGCCCGTGCCCTTGTCCCAGCAGACGTTCCTGGCCCTGTGGCTGTCATGGACGTGAGACTTGCTGCAGAGCTGGAGGCCCACAGTGGCCACCGTCTAGGGGATACAGACAGTAGAAGGAGTCTGGCCCAGGCTGCTCGGGCTGGGAGGAGGAACCAGGAGGGCTGGCAGTGCTCCTCAGTGGACCTAGGGTGCTCTTCCAGGGAGGCTGTGGGGCGCATTCGGAGGTGAGAGGGTGTGGCTCTTCCTTCTGTCCTCGGAGGGCCCGAGGATGTGGCGCCTGCCCTGGGCCCAGTCACACAGACTCTTGATTCTGCGTGTTCTGTGTGTAGGTTAGGGGCGCTGGTGTTGGTGTGTACCTTGCGTGGTAGACGTGGCAAGGGTACCCCGGGACCTGGCGTGTTATGTGTTATGGTTTAGTCGGAATCAGCCACCGTTCACAGCAACCCCCTTAGTGCACAGAGGATATCAATTTCTGGGGAGCAGGGCAGAGGGTTGTGGGGAGAACAGGAGATGCAGTAATACACAGGGAACATGTGTTCCGTTGCTGGAACTCAGGAGTGAGCGCAGGGGCGGCCCAGCCGCAAGAAGGCCCAGGGCAGGTGTGCCTGGTGCCAGGTCCCCAGAGGTGTATGTGACCTTGTGGGCCCAGAGCTTTGAAGAATGCTGGGCCCCATGTGGTAGTGGTACGTGTGTCAGACGATTCTAGACGAGTCCAGCACACCTGGGTGCTGGGTCAGGAGGGCGACAGTGAGCAGACCGAGCCTGGCACTGAGAAGGGGTGACCTGCAGTGTCCTGGCCCCCAGGAGGCCGTGACTCCCCCAGGCAGGTCTCTGGGGCCCGTGCCCTGACGTCCCTGTCTGCTGTCCCCCCAGGAGCAACTGTACAAGATGCAGCACTGGCAGCCCATGTACCCGCCGCCCTCCCACCCGCAGCGCCCCTTCTACCCGCACCACCCGCAGATGTTGGGCTTCGACCCCCGCTGGATGATGATGCCTTCCTACATGGACCCACGCATCCCTCCCGCGCGCACCCCCGTGGATTTCTACCCCTCGGCCTTGCACCCTTCAGGTAAGCACCTGGGGCACTGGACCAGGCGTGTTCCTCCTCTGACAAGACTCGAGCCCCTCTGGATGTGAGCAGCGGGACGCACAGCCACAGCTCCCCAAAGAGGAGCCTTTGCTTCTGCACCAGTTACATCTGCCTCCGGGTGGGTTCTGCTGTTTGGTTCTTTGCTTTCTCCTCCTCCATTAGTCTTTCCCAAGTTCGTTGGCCCTTTTAAAATGCAACTTTTTGCTCTGTTTTTGTTTTGTTTGGGGACCACACCAGGTGATGCTTAGGGGTTACCCCTGGCTCTGCACTCAGAAATTATTCCTGGTGGGGTTCGGGCATCCTATGGGATTGAATCTTATCCACTCCAGCCCCGTGGCTTCTAAGACAAGTTTGAAGATAGCGCTTTTTCTTTTTCCCACTTGGATCACACCCAGGGATGCTCAGGGCTGACTCCTGACTGGCGGAACCTGAGTCGGCTACGTGCAAGGCAAACTCCCCTATTGCTTCAGCCCCGATACTACATTTTTTTACATTGTACAATTCTAAATATTAATCTGCCTTTGTTTTCCCCCCTTTTGGAGTGTTTGGGACACACCCAGAGGTGCACAGGGGTCTCTCCTGGCAGTGCATAGGGGGCCATATTTGGAGTGGGGGATTAAACGGGTCAGCTGCACACAAGGCAAGTGCTTTAGCCCCTGTGCTATCTCTCTGGCCCCTGATTTGGGGCAAGTGATATGGTTTTTATTGAGACTTAGAAAGGAGATGTGAGGGAAGAGAGAGGAAGTGTTTGTTCAAGAGAGAACACGTGGAATAGAGGGAGAGGCGCAGAGACAAGCATCGAGACACGTGTTCTCGGGAGAACGCACTTGAGGAAAAGCCGGATCTTTAAGGGACCCCTCGAAGCAGAACCAAGGAAGACCCTTCGCCATTCCCAGGGACCCTAAGCTTGATGTCTCACTCAGTGCTCAGGAGGGTGATGTGGTCTTAGGTACCGGGGGCCGCGTGCTGGCAGGCTTGAGCCCACGTGCCTGGCTCCAGCTCCTGGTGCTGCCTCCCGGGCCCTTTGATCGTTTTTGAGGACTGCATTGGAAGTGTTCAGTAAGAGCTTCAGCATCATATGGTGTGGCTCTCGTTTCTGCTGCAGCTGCTTTGTGGAGAAATCCTGCCGTGTGTGGACCGTAGCTCAGGGCTCGGCCAGCGCTTTCTGCGCGCGACAGCTACTGACGGGCCAGGGTTCTATGGCAGGAAGGGCCTCTCGCCCAGCTGGTTTCCCTATGACGCTTCTGGCTGATGAGCCCCAGTCGGGGTTCTGGGTGTCCGTGAGATTCTCTGGGAAGGCTGCTATGTGGTTCTAATGTCTGCTTTTTTTTTTTTTTTTTTAAGCAGTCACAGGGATCTAACCCAGGGCCTCACACATGTCAAGCAGGTGCTCTTCTGCTGAGCTGCATCCCTGGCCTGGTTTTGGTTTTTGTTCTTTAAACACCCTTTGCTCTTTATCAACCTTAAGGTTACTTGAAGAGACGGTGTATTTTCCACATAGAGGCCATTAGTTAAATTTAGCTTGCTACTTGAGTTACTCAGATTTTTGTATCATTATGATTTTTTTCTCCACTCAACCATTTACCTGATGTGTTAAAATCAGTCTCTGCTTATGGTTTTGTTGGATCTAGTTGCCATGTTTTGCTTTATCTGAAGCCAACAGGTTTGAGACCAATGATCTTCCTGTGTCATTCTGTGTGCTCTTGGCTACTGGGCCCGCTTTCTTCTGGTTTCTGTCTCTCTGATACCTTCTCCCCCCAGCCCTTCCTGCCTGCCTCTCTGTTGCTCTTCTCTGGGGAAGTTCATCCTGCTGGACTGGTTTTCCCTGCTCTGGAGACTCCCTGGCTCCATTGGACTTGGGTTTAGTACTGGCCTTCTGCTCTCCTGTTGTCTTTTGAGCCATACGTGAGGTGCTTGGGGCCGAGGCCCAGCTCAGTCCTGGGGGACAGTCCTGGGGGACACTTCTCAAGATTGTGGTGACCGACCCTGGGGCTTCTGCTTTCACGTGTGTCCCCAGGACTGATGAAGCCCATGATGCCCCAAGACCCCCGGGGCAGCTCTGGCTGTGTGCCCCGACCTCTGAGAATTGCTCAGGCCCTGTTTTTTTCTTTTCTGTAATTTTCTTCCTCGTTTTGGATCCAGATTCTCCTGTTTATTTCTACTTCTGATGTGCGAAACGCAACATTCTGTTCTTTATCCTGTTTTTGTGTGTGTGTTTTATCTGGTGTTTAGGCCACACCAAGCAGTGCTCCTGGCCCTTCCTTGCTCTGTGCTCTGGGGTCAGTCCCAGCAGTGCTCGGGGATAACCCACCCATATGCAGTTTAGGGATTGAACCCTGCCGGCAAAGCACACAGGGGAAAAAAAAAGCCTGAGGTTCTCTCTCTGGCCTTGGCCACATTCATTTCTAACTTGCACCCTTGACCTGAGGCTAATTAGTATCTTTGGCCTGACCTTAACCATATCCTTGGTTCTGGTGCGAGGCTGGACAAGGCCCATCCCTGCCCCTTTAGCCACAGGCACAGCCCCTGATTCAGCCTTCTGCACTCCGCCTCTTCTCATGCCCGCCGAGCCCAGCAGTCACTGTCACTGTCGCTGTCACTGCCTTTGTCTGACCCACCTCTGCTGGCTCTGCATCTCTTCCCATCTGGTTGTTTCCCCTCCTTGGTGAGGCCTTGCCAGGACAGGTGTGGAAGCTGCGTCTCCTTGTCCACCGGCCGTGTGTCTGGGAGTGCGAGCCCAAGCAGGGCTGTGCTTTGTGCCCCACACGTCCCTTCCTGTGGCCCCTCACAAGCTTGGAGCTCTCTCCTGGCCTCCACTCTCTTGGCCATGCCGGTGAGCATGTCTGGGAGGTTTCGGAACGAGCCGGCCAGGACTGTTCCTTCTTTTTTCTCTCTACCTGCGTCTCATTGACTTGGCTTTATCTTCCTGTCCAGTGAGTTTAGATTTCAGGGCCGATGCATATCTACACAGATTTGTGGAGGAGAAGCTTGGGCTGTTCCTGGCTCTGTGCTCAGGGGTTCCTCAGGGGCCATACATGGTTCAGGGGAGCACACCTGTGTCACCATGTGAAGGGCAACGCCGTCCCCTGTCCCTTCCCTCCAACCCTTCAGTGACTGTCATAACAATCCCCTCATGCGTGTGTTTTTGTTGTGGATTTGTTTGGGGTTTTCATTTTCCTATAACTCACTGTGTTCAGGGGTCACTCTCCTGATGGTACCTTGTGACCCTCTGGTAGCAGGGGTCAAACTTAGAGGGCCTTGAAAGCATGCACGCAGCCCAAGGCCATGAGTTTTGGGGAGGGGTTTGTCCCTGGTCCAGGTTGAGCGCCCAACTCAGAGCTGTGGTCTCAGCTCCCCGCGGCCTCCCCCAGGTCTCTGGAGGGACACCACCCTGCCTGGGCAGCTGTGGGGCGTCCCCTGTGGCCTCTGTGGCAGAGTCTGAAGCAGCAGTGTCCAGAAAGCCAGGCGAGTGTGGCAGATGTCCGCGGCCTTGTTTGAGAGAGGGATGCTGCCTGCCCAGTGTGTGCTCTGGCCGCCAGGTGCAGAGGGGATTCCAAAAGCCAGACCCTCCACCTACATAGATAGAGGCCCACCAGACCGTCACCACTGACTGACTCCCCCAGTGGCTGTTATACAGAGGTGGGGTGCCCGGGTCAGAATAGCCAGTAGAACCGGGTGTCTTTCTCCTCCGGTCCTTGTCATGGCCTCACCGACACCACTTGGGCAGGGGTGCTCCCCTCCTCGGGGAGGGGTGGAGGGACCCTAACCTAAGCCCACGCTGGAGAGCCCTTGAAGGGAGGCAGGACAGTGTGCTGTGTGTGGGCGGGGGCGCTGCCCTCGGAGCGGGGTGATAGCGAGGCCTTCTTTGCTGTCCCCAGGACTGATGAAGCCCATGATGCCCCAAGACCCCCTGGGCGGCTCTGGCTGCTGCTCTGAGGAGCAGAGCTGTGTGCCCCCTCTCCAAGACAGAAAAGTGGCCTCCCTCGACCCCGGCCCCGTGTGGAGCCCTGAGGCCTACATGGCACTGCAGGGCGAGGGCTACTCGCTGCCCCACCCGAAGCCCAGCGACGCCTTGGCTATGGACATGCATGTCAGGTGAGACAGCTCGGCCCGCGGAAGCACACCCGCAGGAAGAACGTGCCCGTCCTGCGGGCCCCGGGGCGAGCGTGCGCGCAGGATGGCGTGAGTGCTTGTGTGAGAGGCTCTTCTCTGCTGCAGGACTGCAGGGGCAGGCGCAGGGGCGGGCGGCCACGCAGGGCAGGGGGGCTCCTTCCCGTGACCGTGAAGCCAGCTGGCCCTGCCGGCCCAGCCCCAGCCTCTCCGCCGACGCCCAGGCTCCAGCATGCTCTTGGCTCCCGAGGATGCCCAGCTGCTCTCTGTCTCCGGGGGGCCGGCTGCGGCCACCCAGCAGCCCAGCGCTGCCATCTTCACTCTGGACTCCAGGGGCCGCCGACCAGCCCGTGGCCCTGCAGCTCTGAGACCTGCTCAAAGATAGAGCCGATGTTGGTGCTTAGGTTTTTTTTTTTTTCTTTTTCTTTTTCTTTGGAAATTTTTTTTTTCTTTTTAAGAACTGAGCTCTGTGTTCAGCATGGAAACCAGGAACCAGGCTCCAATCCCATTGACTGCTTTTTCTGGTTCCTTTTCAGGAATGAAAGCTCTTACTCTGCCTCACCCGGAAGGTCCGGGGGCGTAAGTGCCCGGCGCGATCTCCTTGAGGACAGAGGGGAGGAGTACTTGAGCGCTTTTGCCAAGAAGGCCCCCGCAGACTTTGACAGCTGTGTCTCTTCTCAAAGAATAGGCCAGGAGCTTTTGTTTCCACCCCAAGAGAATGTTCAGGAAGCAGGTGCTCCTGGGGCTCACAGCCCAAACCTCAGGTGTTCCCCCCTGGAGCCTGACTTTCCCCCCACTGAGAAAAAGCCAGAGTATAGCAGTTGGGATGTTAGCCGCCAGCCCAAGGCCACTGACACAGCCGCCGGCGTGGAGAAGGAGGCGCCCCAGGAGGAGCCGTCCTTTCCTCTCTCCTCCTGGGGGAAGGAGGGAGGCACCCCCAAACAGCCAGCCCTGGAGCCCACATGGACTCCCGAAGCGGGGGGCGCCAGCAGCCAGCAGCAGGAGCAGCCCAGCCGCCCACGGAGGTCAGGCCCCACCAAGAAGCCTGTCCTCAAGGCTCTCAAAGTGGAGGACAAGGAGAGGGAGCTGGAGCGGGCCAAGCCGGAGGTGGGGGAGGAGAGCACCCGCCTGGCCAAGGAGAAGGGCGCAGGCCCGGGCGAGTCGGACGATGACCAGGAGAACGACCCCTCTCTGGCCAACACCCCATCGTCCCCCGTGGAGGAGCCGGGTGCCGCCCGAGCCTGTCTGGACTCTGAGGAGGAGAAGCCTGCCCGGGCCTGGGAGTCCCGGCCATCCCGGGAGCCCGGCGAGGTGCCCCCGACCAGGAGGAACAACTGGATCTTCATCGACGAGGAGCAGGCCTTTGGCGGCCGAGGGCAGCCCCGCGGCCGCGGCCGGGGCCTCCGCGAGTTCACCTTCCGGGGCCGGCCCACCGGAGGGGGCCTCTGCAACGGGGGCGCCCTCGGGGCGCGACCCCTCTACAGCAACAGCCAGAGGAGCGGCCGCGGCCGAGCACTGCGGGAGGCCAGCCAGCCCGAAGACTTCCCCCGAGCCAAGCCGCGGCGCCGGGTGGCCAGCGAGACACACAGTGAGGGCTCCGAGTACGAGGAGCTCCCGAAGCGGCGCCGACAGAAGGGCGCCGAGGCCGGGCATGAGGGCTCGCTGCTGGAGCGGGAGGATGGCAGTGCCCGCAAGGGCGACTCCCGCGAGTCCTGGCGCTCCAGCAAGGCCTGCCCCGAGGAGCCCTGCGGCCTGGACGCCAAGAGCCGCGGCCCCCGAGCCTTCGGGCGCGCGCTCCCGCCCCGGCTGAGCCACTGCAGCTACACACGGAGGACCTTCGTGTCCAGGGAGTCCCTGCACTGGCAGAGCAAGAGCACGGGCGCCTCCTGGCAGGAGTACGGCACCCCTGACCCGGGCGGGCCCCGGCGACCCGCCGACAGGGACCACCCCACAGACTCGTACCGGCATCTGGACTCTTTTGGGGCCCGGGCGCCGGAGGACAGCCGCCTGGACGAGCGGCGGGTCTTCTTCCCCGATGAGCCCGGGCCCGACGCGGAAAATGCCGAGAACCGGCCCTTCCGGAGACGCCGACCCCCGCGCCAGGACAAGCCCCCTCGCTTCAGGCGCCTGCGGCAGGAGCGCGAATCCTTGGGGCTGTGGGGGCCCGAGGAAGAGTCCGCGCTGCTGGCCGGCCCGTGGCCAGGCCAGTCCAAAGTGTGTCTGGGCAGCAAGAGCGGCGCCACGGGCCGCAGGTCCCCGGAGCTCGCGTACCAGAACTCGTCCGACCACGCCAACGAAGAGTGGGAGACGGCCTCAGAGAGCAGCGACTTCAGCGAGCGGCGGGAGCGGCGGGAGGGCCCAGGGGCGGAGGCAGACCCCCAGCTGGACGGGAGCAGCCCCGGGGCCGGCGTGGCCGAGAAGAAGGAGCTGGCCAAGAGGAGCTTCTCCAGCCAGAGACCCCTGGTGGACAGGCAGAGCCGGAAGCTGGAGCCGGGGGGGTTTGGGGAGAAGGCTGGCAGGCCAGGCGGCGGTGAGACGGCGCCCCGCTTTGAGAGCCAGCAGAGTGGGACGCCCTTGAGAGCCAAAAGGTAAAGCCCGAGCGCGGCCCCAGGGCCCGGTCCTCCCCGCGCTCCCGCATGCCTCGGCCCTCGCACCGTCGTCTGCTTCTCCTGTGCGTGCTGCTGCTGCGGTGGTGGTGGTGTGGCTGAGGAACGAGCCCGGGGCCAGTCCTCACCCAGAGCGAGTGCAGGGGGCGCCCGCACAGACCCAGGCTCCGGGAGCCCAGGCAGCTGTGTGGTCTGGAGTGCCGGCCCCAGAGGGGGAGGACAGGGCAGGAGGCCTGAGCCAGGGGGTTGGCCGGTGCCAGGGGGAGCCGCCCAGGGGCGGCTATGGCTCTCCACCCGGGCTGTTCCACAGGAGGCCGCCACCAGCGCGGCTTCTGCCGAGCCAGAGGGGCTGTCTGTGTGCGTGCTGTGTGCAGACACCGTGTTCTCTCGCCTTCTCTGGCACCGGCTCCCTTCTGAGCTGACTGACGCTCTTCCTTTCCTTTCTAGGTCCCCAGACGAGGCCTTGCCTGCAGGTCTTGGTGGCCGGGGCGGTGGGAGCGGCCATTACACCCTCGAGCGGCCAGGCCCCGGCCCCTCCGAGCTGTCTGAAGCTGTGTGTGAAAAGGCGGAGACCGAAGCCACGCTGGCGGTTCAGAGACCAGGCTCCCAGGGAGAGGCCCCGCAGCAGTTTGACCTGAGCTATGGGAGTGAGTCCCCCGGGCCCCGTTCCCCGGCCCGAGCCGTGAGCTCTGGCCCTGGTGGCACTCCAGCTTTGGGGGCAAGGAGAGGGAGCTGAGGCCCAGAGTGACTTGCCCAGGACCCTGAGGCAGCTTAAGAGCCAAGCGTCTGGGCCAGTGGGGAGGGCACTTGCCTCGCGTGGGCCGATACAAGTTTGATCCCCAGCACCCCTCCCCGCCTAGCCCCCGTGTTCACAGAGCCCCGCCAGGCAAAACCCAGAGCATCTGTGTCTAAAGACTTCTTTGTTAATTACTATGGTAGTGGTGGTGGTGCCAGGGATCAAACTTAAGGCCTCACAGTGGCCAGACGTGACTTTTACCTCTGGGTCGCGCTGGCGCTCGCCTCTGGCTGGGGAAAGTGGGTTGGACGGCCAGTGGCCCTGCGTACCTTACTCTGAGCTGAGTCTGGCCGCCGGGCCCTTCTCGGCTTCCAATGACTGACACACTGTCCATCCTCCTCGATGGATCCCACTCAGCTGCCATCTTGGAGAACCGTGGGCCAAGCCCTGGGGAGGAGAGTGAGGTGGGCCCTGTGGGGGGCGAAGGCTTCATCGAGGTCCTGACCAAAAAGCAGCGCCGCCTGCTAGAGGAGGAGCGGCGGAAGAAGGAGCAGGGTGTGCCGGTGAGAGGCGGAGGGGAGTCGGGGGTCCCGAGAGGTGCTGGGAGGGGCTCCAGAGGGGCCGGCTCCCCTGACAGCTTCTCCCTGTAGGTGCCGCCAGTCAAAGGCCGTGCGCTCTCCTCCCGGATTCCTCCTCGGTTTGCTAAGAAGCAGAACAACCTGTGCTTGGAGCAAGGCGAGGTGGCCGTGCCTGGCAGCAGCCTGGGCACGGAGATCTGGGAGAGCAGCAGCCAAGGTAGGCTGGCACCAGCGGGCGAGCAGGGAGCGGTGTGCCCAGCATTACGGGGGTTCTGCCCTTTGGGGGATGGGCACGGTGCTGCCTCGACGCCTCACAGGTGGGAGAGCAGAGCTGCAGACCTCGCTGGGAAGGTCTCTGCCCACAACAGCTTCAGGAGCAGTTGTGGAACTTGTGTATTTCTTTGGTTTTGCCTTTGGCTTGGCAGCCACACCCGGCAGTGCTCAGGTCCTCCTGGACCGTGGGTCTGGTGGCCTGACCCTGTCACCTGAGCTCTGGTCTTGGCCTAGGTTCTTGCCCTTCACCACATCCCCACCCTGGGCCTCGGGGTCAGACCTTCTTTCTCACAGACTAGCAGAGTAACCCAGGAGAGCAGTTGGGAGACAATACCGTCTCTCAATACTGGGCAGCTTTTTATCGGGTCAGTGTGTGTGTGTATGTGTGTGTGCATGTGTGTGCATGCACACGCGTATTGTCAACTCAGTAGGTCTTTGTGTTCAGAGGTACCTGCCAGGACACATGGAGTGAACTAGACTCGGTGTCAGTGCCCTAGTGATCACGCCAGGGCTGGAGTCCCCTGAGGACTCACCCGAAGGCTGTGGCTGCGGAAGAGCGCCCCTAAGCCTGACCTCGCAGGAAAAGTCCCATTTTCTACACTCAGGGTCTCAGGGTTCGTGATTACCAGAGGTTGAGTGAGGTGACTTGGGTCTTTGACTGACTCCAGAAGTCCCCGGAGCAGATGGGAAGAAAAGCTGCGCCACGGTGGAGGATGGGCGTCTCACATGGGAGCAGAGAGCCGACAGGGTGCAGCTCCCAGAGGCTCTGTTCTCTCTGGGACACTCACTCTTCTCCCTCCCGGCAGCCCTCCCCGTTCAGGCTGCAGCCAGTGACGCTTGGACTAAGGCCGCCACCGCCTTCAACAGCACCGAGTCCACATCTGCCGAGGTGAGGGCTGCCCGGGCCTCGCTTCTCCCCTATACCTCCCACTCCTGCTGGGCAGAGGCCTTGGCGCACAGTGGTCGCCCCTGGACGTGAGGCTGTGCTGGCCCCGGCTCGTTGCTGGCTTCAGTCATGGCACGGGTGGGCTGGTGAGAGGACGGAAGGAGGGCTCCCGGGAGGCCTCTCTCAGCCGTTCGGGCTCAGGGCAGGGTCTGGTGGCTCCTTCCGAGTTCTGAGTGTGGGGCGTTTGGCAGGGGGTTCCTGGGAGGGGCAGAATCGAGGTTGGCAGCGTCCCCGTGTCCCGTGCCTGCGAGCAGGCCCTGAGCGCCCTGGCCTCCCTGCAGCAGGCCTTCAAGAGCAGCCAGGGAGACAGCGGCGTGGACCTGAGCGCCGAGTCCCGGGAGTCATCTGCCACCTCCTCGCAGCGCAGCTCGCCATACGGCACCCTGAAGCCTGAGGAGATGAGCACGCCAGGGCTGGAACCCAAGGCCGACAGCCACAAGGAGCAGGCCCAGAAGCCACCCGAGCCAAAGGTGAGCCGGCCTCTTGCGGCCCCAGCTCCAGGCCCTGGGCCCCAGCGGAGCGGCCATTCATCGCGAGCGTCTCTGCCTCTGCTCTCTGTCAAGGATCCGGAACAAGGCTCGGGGCAGAGCAAGGAGCACAGACCAGGCCCCATCGGGAACGAGCGCTCCCTGAAAAACAGGAAGGGCTCCGAGGGTGCTGAGCGGCTGCCAGGGACCGGCGTTGCACCAGTGAACGGGGTCGAGATCCACGTGGACTCGGTGCTGCCTGTGCCACCCATCGAGTTTGGAGTCAATCCCAAGGTGGGGTTTTGTCCATTCCCTTCCAACACTCCTGCCCCCACATCTGCCTTAGGCTCGGGGGGGGGGGGGGGAGGCAGGGAGGGAAAGGGGGGTAGATGCGCCCGGAGCAGGACTCCAGGGGGCCGCTCGCCCCCACTCCCCGACCTGCCCACGGCCATGGCTCATCTCTGCTGTGCCTTCTGCACACTTGACCCAAACCCGTGCTGTTCGGGGGCTGGTGCGGAAGCGGGTGGTAGTGGGTCACACCCAGTGGTGCTCAGGGGTGACTCCTGGTGGTGCTCGGTTGCCAGGGATCAACCCGGGGTCAGCTGTGCACAAGCCAGGCCCTTGGCCTTGCACACTCTCCCGCCTCTGGCTGCTGCGCTGCAGTCTGGGTCCCATCGTGCTTTGTTGGCAGTGGGGGTCTCAGTGGCTTCTCATCCCGTTTCCAGGACTCCGATTTCAGCTTGCCCCCTGGCTCTGTTGCTGGGCCCGCCGGAAACCCAGTCGTGAAACTGCAGGATGCCCTGGCCAGTAATGTAAGTGGGTGGTGCTGGCCATGGCTCGCTGCCCACCACTGTGCTGGTGCCCCTGGGTGGCCCGCTGCCAGCGTCTCAGTGATGCGGTTCCAATAGATCCTTCTGACCCTCCACTGTGGACTCAAAAGCAGGGAGATGAGGAGGAAAGTGACTGAGAGACCGCGGCAGTCGTGGGGGGAGGAGAGGCTCGTACAGCCGCAGGTGACACATCCCCTGGTACTGGCCGTGGCTGTGTGCTTCTCTGAAGGAGGAGTCGGGCCGTGGGCTTAGTCCCAGCGGCTGTCCCCATGTCCTGGTCCAGGTGCATGGCTGGACGCACACATGCAGACCCCAGGGCCCTGTGCTCAGGGCCATTCAGAGCCTCCATTTCCGCAGTCCCGGAGTCTGTGTGCGTGTACGGGTGTGCTGGGCTCTGGGCTTCTGGCTCCTGTCCAGGGGCTCCAGCCCCGGCCTATGCTTGGCCCGAGGACTCATTGATTGGAGCTACCAGAGGCCGCAGTGTTAGGGTTGCTGCGACAGGCCGAGGGTCTCCTGGTGCCTTATGGGTGTGGGGCTGAGGCAGCCAGAGGGGAAGGTGGGGGTCTCCTGCTTGGGGTGTGGGTGCCTCTGGCGGCCAGATGGGAAGGTTTGTCCTCCCTGTGGCCCCTGCAGGCCGGGCTGGCACAGAGCATCCCCATGCTCCGGCGGGACCACCACATCCACAGGGCCATCGGCTTGTCCCCGATGTCCTTCCCCACCGCCGACCTCACACTGAAGGTAAGCCGGCTCCTTGCCTGCCTCCCCTGTGCGCCCACCACTGCCTCCGGGCAGCGGCCCTCACGCCTGCCCCTTGCTTCCGAAGATGGAGTCTGCGCGGAAGGCGTGGGAGAACTCGCCCAGTCTGCCCGAGCAGAGCTCTCCTGGAGGCGCGGGCTCAGGCCTCCAGCCACCGGCGTCTGTGGGCGCCTCCAGCGGGGTCAGCTACAGCTCCTTCGGGGGTGTGTCCATGCCGCCCATGCCCGTGGCCTCCGTCGCGCCTTCGTCCCTTCCAGGTATCTCCCCTGCCTCCCTCTTGAGTAGCAGCCCGGGCACCGAGCCCTGTGCACCTGTGGGGTGGCTCTCCCGCTCCAGGCCATCTGTACTTCCTGTGTCCCTGCTCAGTTGGGGTCCCTGTGCCTGTGGGAGCCTCGCCCTCCCTGGGCTGCTGTCCACTCCCTGTCTTGGAGACGGGTGTGGCAGGGTCTCTGGGGAGCCCCCATCGGAGGTAGCGTGTCTGTGGAGACGCTCGCTGCCCGCCACTGTGCTGGTGCCCCCGGGTGGCCCGCTGCCAGCGTCTCAGTGATGCGGTTCCAATAGATCCTTCTGACCCTCTACTGTGGACTCAAAAGCAGGGAGATGAGGAGGAAAGTGACTGAGAGACCGCGGCAGCCCTGGGGGTGGGTGGGGCAGGGTGGGCACAGCTGCAGGTGACGCGTCCCTCCACTGAGGCGGGTGCTCCTCTCCCTCTCCTCCAGGCAGCCACCTGCCGCCACTCTACCTGGACGGTCACGTGTTTGCAAGTCAGCCCCGGCTGGTTCCTCCGACGATACCTCAGCAGCAGAGTTACCAACAGGTGACGTCCGCGGTCTGCATGGCCGGAGGGGACAGCCAGGGCCACTGGGTCCTTCCTTCTGCCCAGCTCCTGGCCCGGCATACGGGGCAGCAGTCCACGTCCCTGGCAGCGTCTCCCCGCCCGAGACCAGGGCCAGAGGTGGAGTGGCCACTCCACTGTCCACTAAGCTTTTCCTCCTCAGTCTGCTTCCCCGGCCCCAGCGGGGGTGTTAGCTGAAACGGAATTCTCTCTGGTGATCAGGTGTCCTTCTGATGAAGAGAAGAGAGCCCTAGGCCCCAGTCTCGGCTGCGTTAGAAAGAGGTAGTTTTAGAGCGAGCACGTGCTTGTGGTAGCGCGGGCCTGCCAGACTCCTGGGCCGTGCGGGGCCGTGAGGGGAATCGCCCTCCGCAAGCTGCTGCGGCCACTCCGGCCCGTGTGCCTGCTCAGACCAGGCCGTGGGGCCCCCGTGCAGATCTGGGGACAGGAGCACGGGCCTCTTTATCCAGCCATTCCCGAATGGTTCCTGTTGCTCAGAGGGCGCGGCGGTGACCCTCCCAGAGCCGCCCTGCCGACCAAGTGCCCTCCGTCGCTCTGGCCCACCATCCTGTATCTTGTTGTCCACCTTGCAGTCCACCTTATGCCGACTGCCCTGGGGTTCTTGGGCATCAGATTCAGGGCCTCCCACATGCTGGCCATGCGCTCTGCCCCTTGAGCCCCAGCCTCTATCCACCCAGGGCCAGGACCGTCCTTCCTGCTGAGCACAGTCCCTGGGTCAGGGGGTCACCAGCCTCCTGGTCCCAGGGAAGGAAGTGCTAGAGTTGGCTCTTGACATGTTGTCCAGAGGTGTTGGGGCCTTGGGCAGGCTGCTCGGTCACCTGCTGCCTCTCCACCGCCCGCAGGCCGCTGCCCAGCAGATCCCCATCTCCCTGCACACGTCGCTGCAGGCGCAAGCCCAGCTAGGCCTGAGGGGGGGCCTCCCCGCCTCCCAGTCGCAGGAGATCTTCAGCTCTTTACAGCCCTTCAGGTGAGCCGCCTTGGCGCTGGCCGCTGGCCGCTGGCCCCTCCCCTGCCCTGCGGCCCACCCTCCCTTCCTCACCCACGCCCTGTTCATTGCAGGTCTCAGGTGTACATGCACCCCAGCCTGTCACCGCCCAGCACCATGATCCTCTCGGGGGGCACCGCCTTGAAACCCCCCTACTCGGCATTCCCGGGCCTGCAGCCCCTGGAGATGGTGAAGCCCCAGTCCGGCTCGCCCTACCAGCCCATGAGCGGGAGCCAAGCCCTGGTGTACGAGAGCCAGCTCGGCCAGGCTGCGGGGCTGGGCGCCTCCCAGATGCTGGACTCCCCACTCCCGCAGGTCAGACATGGCTCCCAGCCTCCCCCGGGCGCCCAGCCCCAAATCCTGGCACAGCTGTGCGTGCCTGTAGTCGGCGCCCCGGCGCCCAGGGCCCCGTCAGCAATGAGGAGGCTGTTGCCGTGCTCTGCCCTCCACACTCCCCAGCACTGTGTGCCCTCCTGAGTGCCAGGTCCTCCCAGCCGGCAGCAGCGCTCGGCGATACTGTGGGTCAGGCACTTCCTTGCAAAGGCCTGGTGGGGACCCCGCTTGGACCTTGTTTATATCAGGCATGTGCTGCAGGTCTTAGCTCTCGCCCGTTCCCCTCACCCCTGCTACATGGTGTGCTGCTCATCCCTACCCCTCTCTGCGGGCAGAGCCATGGGGCTGCTGCCGCCGTGTTCCTTGCAGTGCATCAAGGACCTTCGCTCGTGCTGGCTCCTTGCGCGCGCCCCCCCCACCCCCATTTCTCATTCATGCAGCATTTGTGCTGATGCCATTTCTCGTCTTGTCTTCCCACCCACCGTGACTCTGGTCCCTGACCGGTCCACCAGCTCGTTTGTGGCTGTGCCGACCCCACATGTCCTGAGACCTCATTTTTCCATATCACATGCTCCGTTCACTCCTAGAATCCTGCCCCTGCTCCCAGTCTGTTGGCCAGTGTGCCCCCGGGCCTCTGCGGTCCTCGCCCTCCTCTATATCCATCCACACTTCTCAATGTTGCACCTTAGGCCCTTACTGGGACCCACGCATGTGTTTGTGCTCTGGTGCGGTCCCCACCCACTGAGCGCTCCCCCCTCCGATTCTGTGGCCAGGCAGTGGGCCCCTTGGCCTCACTCTAACGAGACCAGGATTCATCTACGCTCCCAACCCTGTTTTTCCCCTTGTACGGCACCCTTTAAGGCTATCAGGCCATTGCACGCCCTGACCTGGCCGTCCAGAAACACTGTCCCCATGGGCCTGTGCGGAAGCCGGTGAGGGAGAGCCACTCCCTCCCCATGCCTGACTGAAGGCTTCCGAGACCCCCTGCGCCCCTTTTCCTCTCCTTGTTTGCTTTGATTTTTATGTGTTTAGGTTTGTTTGTGGTTTTTTTTTTTTGGGGGGGGGGGGTTATACCTGGCTCTGCACTCAGGAATCACTCCTGGAGGTGCTCGGGGGACCATATGGGATGCTGGGAATTGAACCCGGGTCGGCTGCGTGCAAGGCAAATGCCCTACCTACTGTACTATCACTCTAGCCCCTTATGTGCTTAGTTTTTGCACCACACCCAGTGGTGCTCAGGGCTCTGCACTCGGGGTTGTTCCTGATGGGGCTCGGGGGGACCATATGTGACACTGCGGATTGGACCCGTGTCAGTTGCAAGCAAGGCAAACACCCTCCCCGCTGTGCTGTTGTTCTAATCCTCCCGGAGGCCCCTCCAGCTGGACCCAGAACCAAGTCCTGGAGCTGAGTCATGGCCTGCCTGGTCCCCCTGTGGTGTGTCCTCTGACCCCTGCATCAGCCCCCCTGGCTCCTTGCCAGCGTGAAACTCAGGGTCCCTGCTGCTGGGCTGACCCGGCTGAGGCCTTACTGTCCAGCCCCGCTGTGTGCCCGCAGTGGCCAGCTCCCTCCCTGCCCTGATCACCCCTGTCCTCCAGCAGTTGACGATGCCGATGCCAGGCTCCCAGCTGCCTCTGCCTCGCTACGGCTCTGGCCAGCAGCCTCTGATCCTGCCACAGTCCATCCAGCTGCCACAAGGGCAGAGCCTCTCTGTCGGGGCCCCCCGAAGAATCCTCCCCCCTGGGTCCCAGCCTTCAGTCCTGAACACCAGCAGAGAGGTAAGGACATGGGTCAGAGGTCTGGGGTGCAGCCGCTTCCTGGGTAGGGTCCTACCGCGTCCCAGCTGGGGGGCTGCAGAAGCCCCACCCTGAGCCCGCCCTTGTCCTCAGTCCTCCCAGGTGGAGATGAAGGGCTTCCACTTTGCCGACAGTAAACAGAATGTTCCCCCCGGAGGCCCAGGGCCCTCAGCGCAGGCCTACAGGTAAGGAGGCAGCCCCGGGCCCAAGGACGCCAGCCTGGGAGCCCAAGGCGGGTCCCTCCCTAGGCTCAGTACTGGATAGCACGCGTTTTAGTCCACCCCGGGGGGAATCAGAAACTGGGAGAGAACAGGTTTGTCTCCACTTGTCAGGACTGGAGGAGCGTTTGTGAGAGACAGGACAGGAAAAGGTGGCGTTGAGATGGGGTCAGGTCGGGGTACCTGCACACAGCCTTCTCACCAAGGATGCTAAAGGCCTTTCTCACCGTGGACCCCGAACTGGCCTCTGCCCCCCAGGCTCCGCCTCTGTCTCTGTCTCTGCTACTCAGTGGGCCAATCCCCTGTGATTAGGAATTTGGGGTGTGGTTCTGGTGGTGTCCTGGGTGAGCGGGATGGAGCCAGTCACCCTGCCCTCAGCCGGACTGACTCCTGACCCCGGAGAAGGCCTGGTAGGGCCCGCCACTCCCCTCTGGGCCGGGCTCTGCAGTGTTTGAGGTGAGGCCTCCATGCCCCCTCGTGCTCCAGCTGCTTTTCCGGGGGAAGTTTCCCCTCTGCTTTCCCCCTCTCTTGGCTTTATTTTTGTTGGCTGCTTTTGTTCTCTGGCCACATGTTCACTTCGGCTTGAACAGCAGCTGTGTAGGGAGACAGACATGGCGGTGGAGTAGGAGACAGTGCTCTCAGGCTGGCTGCATGGCCCCGGGGGGGCATGTCCTGGCAGGGCCAAGAGCGGCGAGCCTGTCTGATAGGACGGTCTCCGGGCACCTCTGTTTGGGTCTTCAGGTCCCATAGTGTGTCTCTGAGGTTGTTTGATGGGGATGGCTTCTCTGGCCTCCCTGGCCTACTCACCGGGTGCTGGACACAGACAGGACTGGGAGCCCCGAGCCCCAGACCCCTCCAGGGTTCCCCGTCCTCTTTGCATAGTGCTCAAGTTTGCACCCTGGGGGTCGCCTGGCTCTCACTGGAAGGCCCGTAAAAGCCTGGGGCCATTCCCTGAGTGCTCAGCCTCAGCCCTCCAGCATCGTGGTCCAGATCTGCCCTGGGAGGGTCCGCGCCCATGGGTGGGGCACAGGCATGCGGGGGTCCAGGTGGAGAGAACTGCCTCTGTCCAGAGGAACATTCTGGCCTTGCACCCCAGGGGTCTCCCTGCACCCCCAGGCCAGGCCTTTGTTTTCCTTGCTGGGAGCCGCGCTGGGGGCCCCAGCTTGCCCCGCGGTGACGGTGGCGCGTGTGTGTTCTCACCCTGCCTTTGGTTTTTCCAGGCCTAGCTCTGCTAGCCCCAGTGGGAAGCCCTCTGGATCAGCACTTAACATGGGCCCTGTGCAGGGACACTGCGGTCAACAGGTAGAAGACGGCTCTCCCGCCCCCCAGCAGTCTCCCAGGGCCCAGAGGCAGAGGCCAGTGCCCGCTGGGCATGCCTGAGCCTGGCTCACATGGGCCTCTGGACCCTGCCTCGTCCTGTAGAGAAGGGAGGATGTGGGTCCTCGGAGCAGTGAGGCAGAGGTGGATGGTCCCTGGCACACAGGGGCTGTAGAGCCATGGGGATCGGTTAGGTATGCTCTGACTGTGCGTGTGTGTGTGCGCGCACATAGCTGTGTATGAGATATGCCCAGGTGTGTGTGGGGGGCGTTCATGAGGTATATGTATGCGTGCACAGGTGCATGAGGTGTCCAGGTGTGTGTGTGCATGTGCGGGCATGAGGTGTGTGTGTGTGTGTGTGTGTGTGTGTGTGTGTGTGTGTGTGTGTGTTGTGCACGCATGAGGTGTGCCCATTGTGTGTGTGGGGGGGGTGTGAATATGCTACTCTGTTGCGTCTTGTCCAAGCAGCAGGGTGGGGCCCGCAGAGGAGGGCAGGGCTGCTCCCACCCGCAGTGTTCAGGGCCTTCCGCGTCTCTACTTCACGTCCTTCACATCGTCCTCTTGACTCGGGACCACAGCGTCCCTGGCAGCCTGGGAGGTGCATTGTCCCCCCCGCCCCACCCTGCCCTTTGCTCTCTGAGGGCAGGTGACACCAAGGTGCCTGCACCGTGCACTCAAGTCGGAGGGACACTCCCCACAGAGGGAGCTGGGGGGTGGTTCAGACATTCAGGAGAGCCAGGTCAGCCCAGACTTGTGGGCTCTGTGTGCACGGGGGGCGGGGGGTGTCGCAGCGGGTTCCTCCTGTGGACCCTGCTGGCCCGTTTCTGCAGAGGCCCTGGCCTCCCTGCACCCCGGTCCCTCCTGCGGCAGGAAGGAGCCACAGCTCAGGGAGGGGGCGGGTGCCGTGCCGGGGCACAGCTCCTGTCCACATGTGACTCTTCTCCCTCATCGGTCCCAAGGCAAAGCCCCGAGTGGACGAGAAGCCCAGCCTGGGAGCTGTGAAGCTGCCCGAGGCCCCCTCCCAGCTGAAGCGAACCGGCACCATCAAGCCTCGGGCAGTGAAGGTGGAGGAGAGCAAGGCCTGAGGTGGCCGCCGCGCCCCCAGCCTGCTCCAGCCACTCCTGAGCACCCGTTGTCCAGCCAGCTTGCCCCGTGCATCCGTGGCATCGACCTGCTTGCTTAAACACGAAACAAACGAGCAACGGCCCGTCCGTCCTCTCCTTCTGCCGTGACTGTGGCGTGGCTGAGCCTCTGCAGGGCGGCACCTGGGGCCAGCGTCGTAGCCTCCTCCCGCCCGCCAGCCCGCCCCGGGCACACGCCCATACAGTTCCAGGCGTTTTGTTTTCAAAAGCAGCTAAGGATTTTACAAAGGAGAAGGAAAACAATTCACAAGCTGCGTGTGAATAGCTTAACTTTTGTACGTTCCCTCCCTCCTCTGTCCATCTCTTCCTCCCCTTGGCTGTGTGTCTGCGATCCTGGATCCTTCCAGAGGAAGCACCGTGCCCGCGCCCGCACCCCTCCCGTTTGGTCGGCCTCGGCACTGACTTGCAGAGAGAAGTGGGGGCAGCCTGGGGCGCCTGGGCCCTCGGTGGGCCTCCACCCCGGCCTGATGGAGTTCAGGAGCTCACGCGCTCAACACACGTGATGACACACCTGCGGTCTTAGGTCCCTGCCGTGCGTCATGGAGGGCCCACGCTGCTGGTGTTTCCTGTCTGGTCTGCACCCCAGGCTCCCTGCAGCCTCTCAGCTTCCGGGACCCACAGCACCCCTGGGATGCCAGACTCACACCTTCTCTGTGAAGCCCTCTCAGTTGCACCCCACTCCTTTCATCCTTCTTCCCGGCCTGTCCCTCTACCTCTTAGGCAGCCTGTCACTGGGAAGCCAGGGCCCCCCTCCCCGGGGTGACCGGGTGCCCTCTGCTCCCTGCCAGGCACTCCAAGGGCCCCTCCGCCCCCTCCCCTGTGCTCCAGCGTGTTGGGACCAAGGGGCCCGGGCTTCAGCTCCTTCCTCGGGCGTGGGGGCTGCAGTTCTCTCTGGGCTCCCCACCTGCCTGACAGGTGCCCAAGCAGGGTTTCTGTGGGGCCGCCAGGCTGGGCCTCGCTTGCGTTTTAGAACAAACTGAGGGATGGCACCTGGACTTCCTCCAGCGTCCCTGGACTGCTCGTGCCTGACCTGGGAGGAAGCACCTTGGGGCCCTTGGAGTGACCTCTGTCGTGACCTTCCCTCTCTCCTCCAGGGCTCTCCCAGAAAGGCCCTCCCGCCCCTCCTCTTTCGGCATCCCTCGGCCTCACCCTTGGGCCTCACTTCTCACCAGCTTTTTTTTTCCCCTTTGTCCCCCCACTCATTGTTCTGAGGTCCCTTCAGCCAGGGCTGTCCACAGATGAAGTACCTGCGTGCCCCCCTCCTCCCCCCATCCTGGTGCACATTCTGTCCAGTGGAAAAGGGTTTGCTCGTGTGAAACCAACGGAACCATCCTGGATGTTCCCGGGCCCAGGCTCCCTTCAGTGGACCAGCCGCTCGGGGCCCCAGGACAGTACTTCCTGTTTGAGAACAAGGAAACAAAAGGGTCACCTTCTCCAGCCCTCCCTTTCCCTGTATTTCTTCCCTCTCCCTCCCAATAAAAACAGAAAACACTAGAATTTATTTATATGTATTGATGTTGTAGGTCTAGGTGAAAAAGAAGTAAATGTTTCACTGCTCTATTTATATATAATGTCTGAATTATTCTGTGCAGGATAGGCCAGGAAAAATTGCATGTGGAGTTCAGTGCGTTCACCTCTTGTGCCCAACTGCGGTCTCTTTCCTGCTAAGCTATAGATGGACATTGAGGTCTGGGGCAGAAGGGCCAGCCCCGGCCTCCCTGCAGCCCAGCCTTTCGTTGGTCTGACCCAATGCAGTTTTAGTGCTGAGCTGTTTCAAGGTGCAATATCTCCTTTTCCTGTGGTTTCAGGGCCCAGCTCAAGGTAAGAGGTAGGGTCACTGGGCCGAGAGCTCCAGCCTCGGGCAAAGCCCGAAGGCTTCCAGCAGAATGTCCTGGGCTTTGGATGGAAGTGAGTAGCAGTGCTGGGCAGGTTGTCAGAGCTGCGCGCTGCCCCCATGGCTCTGGACCAGGCCCCTGTGAGGTCTCGGGACCTTCTTCAGTGGGGTAAACTTCCAGAGTACGCGCTCGCGTGCCAGGACGTGTCCGGCCAGCCCCAGTGGCTCTGGCTTTGTCCGCGGCTTCTTCCCTTTCCGACATGATTTCTGTTTCCGAGTGGGATCCCTACCCTTCTGGCTCTAGGTCCCATAAAGGTGATGCGCCACTTTTCACAAATGGCTGACAGAGCTCCAGAGCGTGTTCTTGGAGCCACTGGTAGGATATGGCGTCCCTGTCCTTTCGTGCCGTGTGCGCCCCATCACTGTGCCCTCGCCCTGTCTTCTGGATGTTTCAGGAGAAGCTTTATGACTGCCGCTCAGAGCCACGGAAGACGGGTGTGGTGTGAGCCCCATTCAAAGTCGGACCCTCCAGGGAGCGTGTGGCCGGTGGTGAAGCTCTCCTTGTTGCCTGGTCCCCCTGCCGAGAGGCTGTGCACTGCCCCTTGCTCCCTGAGCCAGGCGCGGGAATGTGGTGTGCAGACTGACCAAAGCCACTTCCTGCAGGGACCCGAGGGCCAGGACTGCGGCATACTGGCCACCAGAGCTGCCGCTTGGCCACTTCTCCAGGGGCTCCGTGTGGACGGCTGACACTTTCAGGGGCTCCTTGTACCTGCTCTGAGGAGTGAAAGGGGCAGAGGTGAGGGTGGGTTTTGTTTCGCTTTACTTTCGTCTCCCTTTGGGCCTTTCCTGTCTCCTCGCAGACCAGACACCCGGAAGGGCAGTGGCCAACTGTGATGGTGCAGCTTGCTTGGATTTGGGGGGGGGCGGGTAACGGAACCTGCGGGTGGCACATCCCCCCGCCCTTCCCCTCCTGTTTCTCCTTTCAGATATGTGATTGTACTAGCTCTTTCCTTAGGAAAGACTTCTCCTTATTTAAATAAAAAAAAGGAAAAACACCGAGCCGAGCCTGCTTTCTCAGGCTGTGTCCCGTTTCTGTCACTGACTGTGGCCACGTGGCAGTGCCTGGAGGAGATAACGGGAGGAAGCGGCTAGCGCCCGTGGCTGCGGGGGGCAGGCAGGAGCGCAGGAGCAGGACACAAGTGCCATCTCTGGGGAAGGAGCTTAACTGCGGGTACAAGGAGCCCGTGGGAGCACTGAGCGCCGAGACAGGCCCCGGGGCGGGAGACGGGCCGGGGCTGGTGCGCACGCGCAGCTCCGCGCATGCGCCGTGCCGGGCCAGGCGCGGCGAGTCGAGCCCCGAGCGGCCTCGGCAACGCGCGCGGCGCCTCAACGGGCGTCCCGGCTCCTGCGCGGCGAGGGGCGAGCGCTCGGCGGGGCCCAGGAAGCGCCAGGCTCTCCGTTTCGGGGCGCCGGGACGAGCGCCCACTCCGGACCCGACCGGGCCGGTGCGCCACGCGCGTGCGCGGCCGTCGGGGCATCCGGATCCGCCGGCGGGGCGGGGCCTGCGGGTACCTGGGCGGGGGGGGAGGCCGGGGATCCCCCCGGGAACGGGGGCGGGGCCTGCGGGTACCCGGGTGGGGGTGGGGGTCGGGGACGCCCCCAGAGCGGGGTCGGGGTCCTCCGGGAGCAGGGGCGGGGCCTGCGGGTACCTGGGTTGGGGGTGAGGATCGGGGACGCCCCCAGAGCAGGGTCAGGGCCTGCGGGTACCTGGGCGGGGGGGGAGGGTCGGGGACCCCCCCAGAACGGGGGCGCGGCCTGCGGGTACCTGGGACCCCCAGGGCGGGGGCGCGGGGAGAAAGCGCGCCCTTCTGGTGGGAGCGGTGCAGGGTCCCCGGGAAGGGGCCCCCGGAGTGCGGGTCGGTGCCTGGGGGACGGGAGAGGGGGCGCGGCCGAGGGGGCTGCGGGCCGCTTCTGGCGGGATGTGCGGGGACCTAGGGGGGCAGCCAGGGGCAGGAACGGGGGCCCTGGGGCACCCGCGGGCAGGCTCCGGGCCCCGAGAGCCCGCGGTGCCCCCTCGTCCTCAGCAGCCCCCCGCACTCCGCCTGTTCCAGGCGCCCCGCCCGGCCTTCTCCAGCATGTGGGGGCTCCTGAAGCGCCCGGTCACGGTCACGGCCAACATCAACCTCAACGTGGTGGTGCTGACGGCGTTGGGGCTGCTGAGCCGCCTGTGGGGTCTCTCCCACCCGCGCGCCGTCGTGTAAGCAGATGGGAGGGCCGGGGCCCAGCAGCGCTTGGGGGTACTGCCAGGGATAAACGGGGGCACATGCCCGCCCTCTGCTCAGCCCCTTGATCCCGCTGTGGGAGGACAGGAGGCCACCGGGCCAGGGAGTTGCTGGTGGTGCTTAGCCTGTTCCCCTCTTGGACGCACCTGTCCAGGCGGAGTCTCAGCGGACCACTGAAAATCTGAGGAACCGGCCTGGGAGAGCTCATGGGCTGTGCCAGCTTTCCCTGTGGGAGGCGTGGGCTTGGTCCTCCTGCCCCCAGGAGTGACCCCCCCTCAGCACCTTGCCACCCCAAAACAAAAATCCAGAAGGAGGAAGGAAGGTGGATGAATCTGAAAGGGAGTGTCAGAGCAGGGGCGGGCCTGCAGGTACCTGGGGTGGGGGTATTAACACTAGTGTGAGCTCTTTTTTTTCCTTTTTGAACTACTCCTGGCAGTGCTGGGGGACCATACAGAATCCTGGGAATCGAACCCGGATCGGCTGCGTGCAAGGCAAATGCCCTACCCATTGTGCTCTCGCTCCAGCCCCAGTGTGTGTTCTTTGTCACCTCGGAAATGAGGAAAGAGAAAGAGCTGGGCTTTTTTTTTTTTGTTTATTTGGTTTTGGTTGTTGGGTCACACCTGGTGGTGCTCAGATTTACCCCTGGTTCTATGGGGTAGATCACTCGTGGCCTGCTCAAGGGACCATAATAGGGTGCTGGGGATTGAACCCGGGTCTGCCAAGTACAAGGCAAACACCCTACCTGCTGTATTGTCGCTCCAGCCCCACAGAGCCGTAGCTTATCTCCTTGAAACAGACATCTCTGTCTTTGATGAACATGCCAAAAGACACAACTGAAAAGTAGAATGACCTCTTTACCCATCCACAGGATAGCGTGATCAGCTCAGAACCTCACCCTTCCCATCATAAATTTGTTAAGCAGTGTGGGGACACAATTTTTTTTTTTGTTTTTGGGGTGTCACACCCAGTGATGTTCAGGCATTACTCCTGGCTCTGCATTCAGCTCTATACTCCTGACAAGACTCGGGGGACCATAGGGGGTGCCAGGGATCGCACCCCGATCAGCTGCGTGCAAGGCAAGTGCCTTACCTGCCGTTCTATTGCTCCAGCCCCAAGATCAGGATTCTTTAAAACAAAAATCATACTCCCAGAATTTTGTTGTCGAAGAAGGTGGTTAGGGATGGTACAGGCATTACGGCCTTGCCCTGCACGCTGAGGCCCCGGCTTCCATCCTGGCACTTGCTGAGGGTCCCCCGAGCACTTATAGGAGTGATCTCTGATCACAGTGTAAGGAGTTAGTCCTAAGCACTGCTGAGTGGCCCTGAAACCCCCTCTCCTCACACACACGCTCTAAGAAGGTGACTGCAGCAGCTCCTCAGCATCACCAAAAGAAAGCATTTGACTCAGGCAGTTCCTGCCCGCCTCCCTTTTATACCTGTGACTCTTCCTTTGGGTCAGTGAGTTGGCATCTGGCCCCGGCAGCCCTTGTGGACAGTGGCTGGTGGCCCGTCCCTGTATTAAAGATCCGGGCAGGGAGTAGCACCAGCTTCTGACGGACATCCTGTCCTTTGGGATGGATAACGCTATTCAGCGCTTCATTGTCTGGGGACAGGCTGGGCACAGAGATGATGTCCTGTGCAGACGCCACTGAAAGTCATTTAGCAGCGGGGCCGGAACAATAGTCCGGGGGGGGGGGGGGGAGGAGGGCATTTGCCTTGCATGCGGCTAACCCAGATTCGATCCCCGGCATCCTGTATGGTCCCCCAAACACGGCCAGGAGTAATTCCTGAGTGCAGAGCCAGAGTCAGCTCTGAGTAGGACCCCAAAAAAGGGGGGGGGGAGTCACTTAGCAGCACCGGGAGCATTCGCCCTCGCGCTCTTTCCCGAGAAGACTGTGGGTTTGTTTCCTCAGCTTTGACGAAGTCTATTACGGGCAGTACATCTCCTTTTACATGAAGCGGATCTTCTTTCTCGATGCCAGCGGCCCACCGTTTGGCCACATGCTGCTGGCCCTGGGAGGTAGGAAGACAAGTGGACATTGAATTGACTGAGGGTGGACCGTGCACCTATCAGCCACCATCGTTTCCTTCTGTGCCTGTGGGGGGCGGGGGACTTGGGGTGCGGGTGGGATGGCATCACCATGGGTATCTTCTATTGTAGGTTATTTAGGAGGATTTGATGGCAACTTTCTATGGAACCGTATTGGAGCAGGTGAGCGGCCCTTTTCTTTCCCTCCGTTCACAGCGTGCGGTGTAGGGGAGAGTCAGCGATGGGGGGAGGGAGACTGAGGCAGAGCATCTGCTGTGGCTTAGTCACCTTGTGCCTGTGCTGGCCGCAAGTGAAGGCTCCTGAGAAGTCTGATAAATCAGTGTATCTCGCAGTGCCTTCATCCATAGCTTCTGGAGCACAGAGTTCCCATTCTTTTTTTTTTTTATTTTGCTTTTTGGGTCACACCCAGTGATGCACAGGGGTTACTCCTGGGGGCCCTATGGGATGCTGGGAATCGAACCCGGGTCGGCCGCGTGCAAGGCAAACGCCCTCCCCGCTGTGCTATCGCTCCGGCCCCCAGAGTTCCCATTCTGCTCTGTCTGCTCATCGTTAGCTTCTGTTGTACGAATTGTATGTGTCGAGCCCGAGCGATAGGACAGCAGGGAGGGCTTTTGCCTTCCTCGCAGCCGACTCGGGTTCGATCCCGGACACCCATAAGGTCCCCCGCGCCTGCCAGCAGTGATTCCTGAGCGCCACGCCAGGAGTAAGCCCTGAGCGTCGTCGCCAAGACAAAACAAGAAAGCAGCCGTGTCTATTGCCCCCAAGCCCGTTGAGGTGGACACGGAGAGTTCCCCTCACTTGAGGCCCTTCGGAGGGTGGGCGTCAGGAGCGCTGCCCTCTTACCGCGTTTCCTTATCCCGAGCGTGACCCCACTTTGCCGGAGCAGCTCCCGAGTGCCCCAGTCTTGGGCTCCCGCGTGGCAGCTGCACGGTGGCCGGGTGCGGCCAGGCAGGAGGGTGCCAGCGCACTCACCGGCTGCGTCTCTCCGCAGAGTACAGCAGCAACGTGCCCGTGTGGTCGCTGCGCCTGCTGCCTGCGCTGGCGGGGGCCCTGGCGGTGCCCATGGCCTACCAGATCGTGTGGGAGCTGCGCTTCTCTCACTTCACCGCCATGGGCGCCGCCCTGCTGCTGCTCATCGGTGAGGCCCGGGCTGAGGGGTCCCAGTCTGGAGGGGGGACCCCGGGGAGGGGTGGGGGCAACGGGCCAGGCCAGCCGACAGACACCCGCTGTTGCCCTCCCAGCCTCGGGCAGGTGAGGGGCGCAGGAGTTTGTGGGGGCCCCCGCGGGAAGATGTGCGGTGGTTTCTGCAGTGAAATCCGGCGGAGGGCAGCCTGGAGAAGCCGCAGTTGGCGCCTGAGGGCCGCTCTGTGTGGGGCCCTGCGTGGCCCCAGGCCCGGCTCCTGTGGGCTGCCCTCCCAGGCTGCTGCCGACTTGGGGTGCTGGGGCCCATTCCCCGCAGCCAGCGGTCTCCCCGGCTCCCCTCGGCTCTGAGTGCCCTGCTAGAAGGGGCTCCCCTGGCAGGCATGCTGCCATCCCCCCAGTGGGTGTGTCGCCAGGTGGGCGTGGCCTCCAGAATGTGTTTGGGTGTGGGGTCTGGTGGGCGTGGCCTCAGTGGGGGGTCTGGTTGGTGGGCGTGGCCTCCAGTGGGGGGTCTGGTGGGCGTGGTGCCGGTGTGTGCAGTGTGGTGTGTCTGGTGGGCGTGGCCTCCAGAGTGTGTTTGGTCTGGTGGGCGTGGCCTCCGGTGGGGGTCTGGTTGGTGGGCGTGGCCTCCAGTGGGGGGGTCTGGTGGGCATGGTGCCGGTGTGTGAACACATGTGGTGTGTGTGGTGTGTCTGGTGGGCGTGGCGGGCTCACCCGGTCCCCGCGCCCGACAGAAAACACGCTGATCACGCAGTCGCGGCTCATGCTGCTGGAGTCGGTGCTGATATTCTTTAATCTCTTGGCCGTGCTGTCCTACCTGAAGTTCTCCAGCTCCCAGAAGCACAGGTAGGGAGAAGGGCCGTGTCCTGCTTCGCAGGTGGGCACGGAGTGGCCTGACCCTTCCTTGCAGGGCGCCACTCCCTAAATTCTTGTCGACCCCGGCTCGCCCCTTAAAGGGTAACTTGATAAACTCAGATTTGCCTTCCTGCAATTGACTCGACCTGGCCTGTGGCTGATCTGGGGTTGATTCCCGGGACCCCGTATCGTCCCCAAGAACATGCGGCAGAGCCAGGAGTCAGCCCTGAGCGCCGCCAGGTGTGGCCCCACCGAGCAGGACATATGCGGGCGGGCCGGGCGGCCTGGGGGGCTTTGCATTGGGCCCCCAGTGTTCACTCTCCCCGCCCAGGTCCTTCTCTCTGAGCTGGTGGCTTTGGCTGATCCTGACGGGCGTGGCCTGTGCCTGTGCGGTGGGGTGAGTGGCCTGGGGGGGGCGGCCCCTGCCCGCCTGAGCCTGGCCCCACTGTCCCATCATGTCCTCAGCATCAAGTACTCGGGTGTCTTCACCTACCTGCTCGTGCTCAGTGTCGCTGGCGTCCAGGCCTGGCACCTGCTCGGGGACCACACCCTGTCTCACGTAGGTGTCGGGCAGGTGGGCGGGAGGAGTGCCAGGGGCCGGACTGACGCCCACCCCGCCCGCAGGTCCGGGTGCTGTGCCACGTGCTGGCCAGGGTGGCGGCCCTGCTGCTGCTCCCGCTGCTCACCTACGTGCTCTTCTTCTACGTGCACCTCAAGCTGCTCTACCGCTCGGGGCCCCACGACCAGATCATGTCCAGCGCCTTCCAGGCCAGCCTGGAGGTGAGGACGCCTGGACCTGCTGGCCAGGCCCCGGGGCCACGCAGCTCGGCCCAGGCCAAGGGGAGGAGCCTTGGGGGCCAGGCCCAGCCTCGGGGGCAGGGGAAGGAACTGAGGAACTGAGGAATGTAGGTGAAGGTGTCTTAGTCAGGCTCTCCACCCCCCATCCCTCTCTCCCTCCTCCTGCTCTCCACCTCCCCTCCCCCCTCCCTCCCAGTCTCCCTCCTCCCCTTTCTCTCCCCCTCCAGCTTGCCCTCTCCTTCCTCCCTCTCCCCTCCTCCCGCGCCCCCTCCTCACTCTCTCCTCTCTCCTCTCGGCTCCCTCACTGCCTGCCTTTGCTCGCAGGGAGGCCTGGCTCGCATCACCCAGGGCCAGCCCCTGGAGGTGGCTTTCGGCTCGCAGGTCACTCTGAGGAGCCTCTCAGGCAAGCCGGTGCCCTGCTGGCTGCACTCGCACCAGAACACCTACCCCATGATGTAAGCAGGCCAGGCCGCACTCCGGCCCCGCGCCCCTCCCCCCGTCCCCTGCACGTGCAGCTGCCCTCGCCTCGCCACGCCCGGGTGGGCCGGGGAGGGGCAGCCGCCTTGCATGCGTGGGGCTCCGCCCTCCCTCCAGCGCCTGCCCCGGTGCGCGGGGGCCCGGTTGGCGCGGGACGCTGCCGACCCCGCAGGCAACAGGCCACGCCGCCTTCCCGCAGCTACGAGAGCGGCCGCGGCAGCTCGCACCAGCAGCAGGTCACCTGCTACCCGTTCAAGGACGTGAACAACTGGTGGATGGTGAAGGACCCCGGCAGGTGCGCCCCCGCCCGGAGTGCCCGCCCTCGCCTCCCCCCCAGCCCCGCCCGCACCCTGTCTCCTCGCCACGCCCCCATCGCCCCGCCCTCATCCTGTCGCCACGCCCCCACCCTGCCCTAACCCTGTCGCCCCGCCCTCATCCCATCCCCCTACCTTCACACTATCGCCCCCACCTCACTTCACCCCATCGCCCCCGACACCCCGCCCTGCCCTCACCCCGCCCCGCCCCCAGCCCCGGTTCCCCCCCAACTCCTGTGGTCCCGGACACCTCCGCCCTCCCGCGGCACCCCGCACCTCCTGCCTTCGTGGCTTTCCCATGGCCAGTGTTGGCGACCGCGGCGTAGGGTCCGTGCGCGGGGCAGCCACCCGGTTTGGCCGCCCGGAGAGGGACCCCCCGGCTCCCGGAAATGCTGAATGCACGTGTCGGACCCACGCGAGGGGCCGGCCCGAAGTGTGGGTCTGAGGGCGCCCTGTCTGGCAGGCATCAGCTGGTGGTCGACAGCCCCCCGAGACCCGTGCGGCACGGTGACGTCATCCAGCTGGTGCACGGCATGACCACGCGCTTCCTCAACACGTGAGCCTCCGGAGGGGAAGGGTGCCCACCCCGGAGCGCTGGCCGATGACCTTGCTTATTTCTCCTACTTTTTGGGGCCCTGGTGGTGCTGGGGGTCCACGCAGGGCGGGGGTCCAGAAACCCCCACCCCAGTACTGTCCCTCGGCGCCGCCAAACCTCATCGTCTTCCTCCTTAAACTGTTGGGTGGGCCGGAGCGATAGCACAGCGGGGAGGGCATTTGCCTTGCACGGGGCGACCCGGGTTCGATCCCCAGCATCCCATATGATCCTCTGAGCCCTGCCAGGAGTGATTCCTGAGTGCAGAGCCAGGAGTGACCCCTGAGCATCGCCTGGTGTGGCCCAAAAAACAAGGGGGGAAAAAAGGAAAACAATAGAGTCTGGGCCTGGAAAATTAAAAAAATACGGAAATAGAGTCTGGACCTGCCGAGACAGCAGCTGATTGCTTTCCTCGCATGTGAGACTGGTTTGACCCCTGGCATGGCACTGCAGTCCCCACATTTACGAGACCCCGAGTCTGGTCCCTGATGTCACATGACTTCCCTCACTGCTAGGTGTGGCCACTGGGAAAATCGAAGTTGCCTGGCCAGGGCCATGCAGCACTTGGCCCTGGGTCCGAGCCCAGCGCCACGCATTGTGGGAAGCAGTGGCTCGGCCTCGCTCCAGGGGTTCCTCCAGCTCCTCCCTGGCTTTGCAGGCACGATGTGGCAGCGCCCCTGACCCCCACCGCGCAGGAGGTGTCCTGCTACGTGGACTACAACATTTCCATGCCTGCCCAGAACCTCTGGAGACTGGTGAGCCCCGGCGGCTCCTCAGGGCAGGCAGGGACCCCCCTTCCCCGGCGGGCAACAGAAACCGCACCAGGCCTGCCCAGCCTCATCTCCATGGGTGGGGCATGCTGGGAGGAGGTGGCGGAAGGGTGGCACTCACCCCTGGGCCACCCTGCTGCTCTGCTGCTCCAGGGCTCCCCACTTCACACCCCTCCTCAGCTTCTGGGCCGACTGGGGTGCTGGGGGCCCCAGGGGAAGTCACGCGCACTGGCTTTGGCGGCCGCTGCGTAAACCCTGCTTCTCCCTGTCTGGCCTGGGCATGACTTCTCATCCCCTTGGCGTGGGGGGCCTCTCCCCAGGACCTTCTGGGGTCGGGGTCGGGAGGCACACCCCAGCTCTCTGCAGGGTCAGCCTCTTCCCCCGTACTGCCTGCAGGGGCGCTGTGCCCAGCCCTGTCCAGCCCAGGCACTGTCGCGGGTGTCAGGCCGGTCCCAGGGAGCCTGGGCGTGGGAAGGGGCTCTGAGGCCAACCCTGCCCCCAGGACATCGTGAACAGGCAGTCGGACACGGAGATCTGGAAGAATATCCTGTCGGAGGTGCGCCTGGTGCACGTGAATACGTCGGCGGTGCTCAAGGTGAGCGCCCTCCCGCCACGCACCTGCCCCCGGCGCCCACCCCCGGCGCGCACCGGGCGAGGACTCCCCGCCTCTCCCCTGTCTCGCCAGCTGAGCGGGGCGAACCTCCCGGACTGGGGCTTCCGGCAGCTGGAGGTGGTCGGGGAGAAGCTGCAGCGCGCCTTCCACGAGAGCATGGTGTGGACGGTGGAGGAGCACCGCTACGGCCAGAGTGAGCCCGCGCCGCCGCCGACGGGAGGGAGAGGGGGCGCTGCGCGGGACCCCCGGGCGCCCCTGAGCGCGGCGGGCTTGTGTGTCCCAGGCCAGGAGCAGCGGGAGCGGGAGCTGGAGCTGCACACGCCCACCCAGACGGACATCAGCCGCAACCTGAGCTTCATGGCCCGCTTCTCGGAGCTGCAGGTGCCGGCAGGTTTGGGGTCCCCAAGTGAGGGCGCACGGGGCCCAGATCAGGTCCGGCACCGGGAGTCGGGGCCCCCAGCTGGGCTTGGGCGTTTGCTGCGGGGCCGCGCAGCCCCTCCTCAGGGGCTGTCGCGGGTGTGGCCGAGCGTCATGCGCCCGCGTGTCTTGCACGTGCCTGACGTGCTCTCGCGTCGGTGCACGCGTCTGTCCGTGCAGTACACATGCCTATGCGTGTGCCAGTGTGCACGGGTGCCCGTCTGTGCCATGCGCGTCTGCCAGTGCTATGCGCATGCGTGCACGTGCGCGCGTGTCTGTCCCTGCTCTGCGCGTGCCTGCGTCCATGCACAAGTGCCGTCTGAGTGCAGTCCTGGTTGCAGTGGCGGATGCTGACGGTGAGGAGTGACGACTCAGAGCACAAGTACAGCTCCACGCCGCTCGACTGGGTCACACTGGACACCAACATCGCGTACTGGGTGCACCCCAAGAGCAGCGTAAGTGCGTCAGGGTGCCTGCAGCCAGCTGGCGCCCGAGGGCCCTGGCGTGGCTCAGTCCTTCCCGTGGTGCCACGGGGTTGACCCTCTCGTGCCCCGGGTCCCCGCAAGCCCGCGTGTTGTTAGATCCCCATGATGGGGCCTATGGGTGCCTCTCAGGTGCTGCCGCCCTGCGTGAGCCACGTGTCCTGTGGGTTTTCAGTAGCACGCTGGCCGCTCGTGCCCTGAGAGGGCCACCTCTGCTCATCCACTCCCCTCCACGGCCCAGCTGCTCGCCCAGGTGGCCTTGCTGCCAGAAAGGGCCCCACATGCTCTCTGAACCGTGTACCTGGGAACAGGCGCATCCTGGGGGGTGGGGGGCGGCATGTGGGACCCGGATTTCCCGCTCCCCTCACAGGCACAGATCCACCTGCTGGGGAACATCGTGATCTGGGCCTCGGCCAGCCTGGCCACGCTGGTCTACGGCCTGCTCTTCTGCTGGTACCTGCTTCGCCGCCGGAGACGCATCCACGACCTCTCGGAGGGTCAGTGCGATGTGCTGCCCAGCCTCCCTGGGCGCTGTGCCCAGAGGGGTGGGGGATGTCCTTTGGTTGTCTCCCCAGGCCAGAATGTTCGATTCCCTTCCCCTCATGGGTGGGGGCCCTGGCAGCCCAGAGCCGCGTGGGAGAAAGCTGGTGATCGAGCTGGCCATCCGCAGAGGGTCGCATGTGACCTGCGTGGCCCAGCTCACTGCCTTGCCCACCCGCAGATGCCTGGCTGCAGTGGGTGCTGGCTGGGGCTCTGTGCGCCGGGGGCTGGGCAGTGAACTACCTCCCCTTCTTCCTGATGGACAAGACGCTCTTCCTCTACCACTACCTGCCTGCGCTCACCTTCCAGATCCTTCTGCTCCCGCTGGTCCTAGAGCACGTCTGCCAACACCTGTGCAGGTACTCCCTGCTCGGGCAAGGGCACGGCTTGTGCTCCCAGCGGGCTGGGGGTTGAAGGGCGGGGGCAGGCCGGGGCTGGGTGTGCCCTGACGGCCTCTGGCGCGCCCTCAGACCTGCCCTGGCCCACAGGTCCGGGATGCAGAGGACTCTCTTCACTGCCCTCGTGGCCGCCTGGTACTCCGTCGCCTGCCACGTGTTCATTGCTCTGCGTCCCCTGACTTACGGGGACACGTCACTGTCGGCCAGCGAGCTCCAGGCTCTCCGCTGGAGAGAGAGCTGGGACATCCTGATCCGGAAACACTAGCCAGGCCATGCCCAGGCACAAGTCTTACAAATAGGTTTGTTTGCAGCAAGCCAAGGGGCGCCGAGGCTCAGCAGGGCCCCTGTGCTGGCTGTGGCCTTGCCTGCCGCGAGGAGCACCGTGTGCGGGGTACTTGCCAGCAGGTCCCCTACGCCAGGACCTGTGCCAGGCACGAGGGAGCCGGGGCCCAGAAGCCGGGCTGGGCCTCCCCACCTTGGTGCCTGCCGAGACCCTGGGGACAGCCCCTGCTTTCTGCACCAGCCCAGTGTCAAGTAAGCTACTGAGAGACCAGTGTCTGATGGGTGCACTTGGAACTTGGGGTCTCCTCACGGTGACTGCCTACACAGCCCTTCCAGAAGGTTCTGTTGAGCCAGAGACCAGTCATCCACGTCTCCTGTCCAAACTGGCCTTTTTTTAAAAAAAAAAAAAAACAGAATTAAAAACGGAATAAGTTGTTTTCACGTGTGGTGTCATTTATTCTCTCCTCTGAGAGCACGTGAAGTCAAACAAGACAGTTCCTGGTGTGCAGAGGCGCCGCGACAGACGGCGAGCCACAGGACTCCCAGGTGTTGCAGTGAAAGCGTGTACGCAGGGAGGGCTTCCTGTAGGTGGCCGCGTGCGTGCTTGGTCCCGAAACTCTGTGCCGGCAGTCCTTCCAAGGCAGGCGTGTGCCACTACGCCGGGCCGGGCCCACGGCTCAGTGCGGCCGGCTGCTCGACTCCAGGTGTGACCGTTTGCCAGGGGCCAGCACGCCGGAGTGCTCTCCTGGCTCGGGAAATGTCCGCTTGCAGTTCCGCCCGTTGGCCCCACCCCGGTGCCACTTGCAGAGGTCCCCACTGAGGATGTCCTGGATGTGCTGCACGATGAGGTTGATGGCCACTGCATAGGACAGTGTGAGGCGGTGAGCAAGCCGCCGCTGCCCCCTGCAGGGGCCTGGGGGCGGGAGGGGAGTTGCAGGGGAGGGGCCCCGGGCTCGGTCTGACCCTGTCCAGCCCTTGGGAGCGCCGGCTCAGATGGCTTTAAGGCAAGCAAGGCTGGTGTCTGAGAGTCAGGCCAGATGGGCAGGGCCAGCGCCGGGGTCTGGGGTCGGCCCCTCCCTGCCTGTCTTACCCATGTTGTCCACCCCTCGAGGGATGATCACGTCTGCGTACTTCTTGGTCTGCAAGGCAAGGAAGCGGCGTTGGCGGTGCTGGAGCGCTGCCACGGTGTTGGGGTGCAGACAGGGCACCCCAGTCTCACCCTCGCTGGCAGCGGGCACCAGCAGCTCCTTCCCCTGGGCAGCCTACCAGGAACCCTCGACAGCGCGGCCACCCCCGTTCCAGCCGACGTGTCCCCTGGGTGGGAGGGGCCCAGGCAAAGCTATATGCTTGCTCAGGCCTCGGCTCAGCACCGGACCCAGCAGAGAGTCGCCACCGACTCTGTTGAGGGCCCTGGAGTGCGAGGTGGGAACCACCCGCTTACTGTTCGACTCTTCAGGAACTCGAGTGAGTACATGTTTGGGATAAAAAAAAAAGGAAAAAGTGATCTTTTTGAGCAGCAACAGATCCCTCCTGCGTCCTGCTCCGCTACAGAGGCAAGTCTGGCTCTGCCTTGCTAGCAACGCACGGGGGACCAACGGGGCAGCGGCTCTGCCATGCACAGCGGTCGGAGCCAGGACACGGCTTGACGTTGGGGGGTGGACAGAAGGCAATCGGGCAGAGGGGGCAGCGAGTGCTGGGGACAAGGGGACCCAACAGGCTGTAGCCAGAGAGTGGCAGCCCAGGAGCTCACGAGGGGCAGAGCCCGGGAAGCAGGCAGGACGCACCGGCAGGCAGAACTCCTCAAAAGCCGGCTTGACGAAGGTGGTGTATTGGGTGAGGATCTGCTCCAGGTCCCGGCCACGCTGCACGTCCCGGAGCACTGCATGGGACACGGACGTGCCGTCAGGCATGGGGCGCCTGGCACCCACCCCCTTGCTCCCCGCCCCGCCTCACCTCTCCTCGACAGCCGGACGTCCGAGTCAGTGTCCACGAAGAGGCGCAGCCGGAACATGTCCCGGATCTCGTGGCTGTAGAACACCAGGATGCCCTCAAACAGCACCACGTCGGCGGGGTACACCACGGTGGTCTCCGGCAACCTGTGTATCAGGCCAAGAGACAGTCGAGGTGGGCACCGTGCTGGGGAGAGGGCCAACTGGCAGGCCCTCCCCTGCTTACCTCGAGTGGGTCACAAAATCATATGTGGGGACTTCGACGGTTTTGCCCTCCACGATGCTCTTCAGCGTCTTGAGCATCAGGTCGTTATCAAAAGCATCTGCAGGATGGCGGGAAGGCGCAATGCGGGCGGGCAGCCACACAGCGGGGGACCCTCGTCTGAAGACAGGGCCTTTGGCCGGGCAGCAAACCGGGGGCCACCGAGGCAGGAAGCAGCCCTGAGTCTCAGAGGGCCGTCCCGTCTGGGGGCACAGCGGAAACAGGTAGCAGAGGCAGCAGTGCCACACCAGGAAACACCTGTGCCCCCGGCAGTGGTGCCAGCTGCTCGGACTGGGGGTGCAGCTGTCCAGAGCACAGCTCAGGCCCAGCGGGATCCTGATACCCCGCCCTTCAAGGGCTCGCTCGCCTGTGCCCAGAAAGTTCTGGAAAGCCCCGTTAAACCCCACAGGCGGCTTGCCAGCTCTCTGGACAACCTCAGGGATACTTGTCCCTGGCCTGGAGAGATAAGGTGGCGGGCGGGGCTGGTGGCGCTGGCTCGGCCCCAGCAAGTGGGAGCCCAGAGCACGCTGGACGTGTCCCCGAGCCCCCACCACCGCTCCCGCCGCGCCTACCTGGGTGGTCGAAGTTGTACTGGCCCTTGAGAGCCTTGGCCTTCTGCTCGGCCGTGAGCACCTTATAGAAGCGGTCCTGGCTCAGGATGACCAGCTTGCGCTGCCGGTGGTCCACCTCGTTCTGGCCCAGCAGCTCCATGATCTTCTCGCACACCGTGGACTGGGCGGGCAGAGAGGCTGGGCAGGCGGGCGGGGGCGCGGGGATCGCGGGGGGCGGGGGCGCGAGGCGAGGGGGTTGCGGCGGGGGGGTGCGAGCCGCTGGGGTCGCGGCGGGGGGAGGCGCGCGGGGCGCGGGGGCCGCGGCGGGCGGGGACGCGAGGCACGGGGGTCGCGGCGGGCGGGGCCGCGCGGCGCGGGGGTCGCGGGACGCGGGGGTCGCGGCGCCCGGCCCCCCCACACCCCCACCCCCGGCCACTCACCTTGCCGCTGGCGGTGCCGCCGCTCACCCCGATCAGGAAGGGCCGCTGGTGCGGCCGGTCCTCCTCGGGCGCCGCGGCCTCGCCGTCACCGCTGCCCGAAGCCATGTCCAGCCCCGCTCGTCCGCATGGGGCGCCCCCCGCTCCCGCCGCGCCCCCCTGCCAGCCGCCGCTTCGAGTCGGAGACGCCCCCCGAGCTCCACTTCCGGGAAGCGCGCGGCGGGAGCGCAGGGCATGACGGGAATTGTAGTCCGCTGGCTCGCGCGGGGCAGGGCGGGAGTTGTAGTCCGCGGGCATCGCACAGCCCTGGGCCGGGCAGCTGTTCGTGGTCGCTGGTTCTGCACCCGGGCTGCGAAGGACAAAGGCCACTCAGGGTGGCACTCGGGTGCAGGGGTCTTTGGGCACCGGGCGCTTTTCCCCAGCAGAGGCGGGTCCCCTCGAAAGTTCCCTGCTCCCGCCTCTCCCGTGCCCGGGACACGCCCCTGCCCCACACGCGCCCTTGCCCCCAGACTGCGGGATTCGGGTGCGGACAGAGGTCAGCCCGAGCGGGCACGTGAGACCCCCGGCCACGTGACCGGCATGGGCCGCGGACCCGGCGCGCGCCTCCGCCCCGCCTCCCCCGGCCTCGCGGGCGCTGCCCTCCGCGTGGCCGCCGGGTCATCGTGGCGCTGACCCTTCACCCCACGATCCCTTGGCGGCTGCCCTGGCCCCTGGACAGGTGTCACGCCTGACTTCAGGCTCCCACGGAGCGTAGGTAGGGGGCCCGTTTCCCAGGGCCTGATCGTGCACACCGGCTGGCCAGGTTCCGTGGTGCCCACGTGTGTGCGTGCGCGGGGTTAGGGGGTGTCCCGGTCAGCAGAGGGAGGAGGTGCAGGGGAGAGCCCACGCGCGTGGACTGGGCACAAGAGCCCGGTGTGGGGCGAGGCGCCCGCCCAGGAGGACCAGCCCTCGGTGGCGGGGAGCCTGTGTTCTGTGTCCTGGTTTCTGGCCGGACCCGGGTTCGCCGGCGCGGGGTTTTGTCCGTTCGGTGGTTCTCAGGCTGAGGCGAGGGGCCCGGGAGAACACGCAGCTGCTCGGGGTCAGTCCCGGCGCCGTATGGTCCCCAGAAGGTCGCCAGGAGTTAGCCCGGGCAACACTGGGAGTGCTAATCCCCCACCCCTACCCCCCCAAAACAGAAAAGGCTGGAATCGTATTAGTCAATTCACGCACAAAGAAAAGCGCAAAAAGCAAAAAAAAAAAAAACCACCAAAGAAAAGCGCGTGTTAGGGCCGGAAGAGAAGCCCAAGGCGGAGGGGACTTGCGGGAGGCGCTCAGGCCCCAGCCGGGTGCGACCCCCAAACAAACCCAGAAGCGCGGGGTTAGGGCTTGAGGGGTGTTGAAGGCAGCCTCAGTGCCCAAAACTGGGTGCGCTTCATCTCACGGTGTCCCTGCAGGGCCCTAAGGACCACGGAGCCACGGTACCCCAGGAACGCGGGACCCTGGCTGGGTCCATGCGCTTGCCTAAGAGCCCGTCTGGAGGAAGTGCCCAGAGCGCACCCCAAACCTCCTCTCCCCCAAAGAAAATCAACTTTTTAAATTTGGGGGTCACACCCAGCGGGGCTTGGGGCCATAGGGGTGCTGGGGAGCCAACCAGAATCGGTTGCATGCCAGGCAAGCGCCTATCCCCTCGCTTTTTTCTTTTCTTTTTTTTTTTTTTTTTTTTGGCTCTTTGGGTCACACCCGGCGATGCTCAGGGGACCCTCCTGGTTCTGCACTCGGGAATCACTCCTGGGGTGCTCGGGGACCGTATGGGGTGCCGGGGATCGAACCCGGGTCGCCCGCGTGCGAAGCAGGCGCCCTCCGCGCGGCCCCGTCCCTTTCTAACGGTGTCTTTGGCCCGTTCATGTTTGATGCGCTGCCCGTCGGGGGCGGGGTGAAATTCTACCAACTTTGTTTTTTCCAGGACGCCGACCAGGTAGGACGCGCAGGGGGCGTGGGCGCGAACTCCGGGCGCCTGCGCGGCCCCAGCCGCTGCCCCAAGGCTGCAGGCGCGGGACCCGCCACCGCGCGGCCGGGCCACGCGGGACCCAGCGCGGAGCGGATGGAGCCAGGTGAGCGCGCGGCGGGGTCCGGGCCCAGCGCCCTCGCCCGGGGTCCCTCCCGCGGGAGGCCGCCGAGCAAAGTGCAAACTTCGGGCCGCTTCGTTCCACCCACGGCGCCCCACTCGAGCCCCGCCCCCCTCCCCGCCACGGGCAGAGCAACGGGGGGCGGGGGGGACGGCCTCCCGCGTCCCCCTTTGTTGCTCTAGTTCACCCCGCTGACCTGAAGCCCTGGACCCGGGGAAGGGGCGGTCCGGGAGAGCCGGTGGCGACGTGCCTCCCCTCCCCCCAGCCACCCCCCCAACCGGACCCGAAGGAGGGGGGCGGGGTGGGAGGTGGTGACACCGGCTCCCCCAAACCTAGGGGGTTGCACCTGGATTTTTGTAGCCGCCTCCCCACCCCCACGCCTCCAGGCCTTCAGTCCTGCCCCCACCAAAAAACACCCTCTCCTCCCCCACCCCCCTTTCCTGGCTGAATGTCGCATGGCTCAAGTGTCCCTGAGGCTCAGGTGCCTGGTTTGTTGACTCTGGGGCGCCGGGAGGGGACGGAGGAGGCGGAGGCGGGGATAGCTGGTGACAGGGTCCCGGTGCGGGGCTGGTGGAGGGACCCCGGGAGCCCCAGGTGTGGGGTCAAAGGCTGCTTGCTGCCGCGATGGTCCCCACTGCAGGGCCCCGGCCTCTTCCCCCATGGCCCCCAGGGCCCTCCATCCAACAGCAACCTTTGTGCTGTGTCCCCTCCCCTTAGAATGCGGATCCAGCTCATTCAGTACCCTGCAGGCGCCCAGGACCCTCATTCTTACTCCTCCTCCGGTAGTCGAGAGCCCAACTGGGCAGGCAGAGCCCTCAGGGGTACTTAGCCCTCTGAGACCCCAAGGCACCCCTGGAAGGCCCCTTTTAAGTGAATCTCTTTTTTTTTTTTTTTGCTTTTGGTTTTGGGGCCACACCCAGTGGTGCTCAGCACTGATTCCTGGCTCTGTGTTCAGGGGTCACTCCTGGCGGTGCTCTGGAGACCACAAAGGGGTGCCAGGGATTGAACCCCAGTCGGTGGAGGAAGGCAGGCGCCCTGCCGGCTAGACCATCTCTCGTACCTTTCTTTCCCCTCCCCCACCTTCCTGTGCGGCCTCGGATTCCCCTTTCCTCACTCCCCCCCCCCCCACGCCCTGCTTGGGGGTTCTGAGTGGGGGAGTCTGTGGATTCCTCACCAGCCCGTGTGGCTCTGCAGCCCTTCCGGCCTCTCCTGGGACACCCTGGGGCCCGGAGCTGCCCAGAGTCTCCACCCAGAGCTGGGGCCCAGAGGTGGCTCACCTCTCCTTTTGACTTCTCTGATCACCCGCACTTGGTTTCGTGGCCTCGTTTCCCGTCTTCTGTTTTGCAACTGAGACTGTGAGGCACATTCAGATATTAAGTGGCTGTATTTTTATTTTTGTTTATTTATTTATTCTTATTTTTTTTGCTTTTTTGGGTCACACCCGGCTATCAACTCCTGGCTCTGCACTCAGGAATCACTCCTGGCGGTGCTCAGGGGACCCTATGGGATACTGGGAATTAAACCCAGTTTGGCTGCGTGCAAGGCAAACGCCCTCCCTGCTATGCTGTCGTTCCAGCCCCCCCCCCCCCCCATTCGGATATTATGTGTCTTAGTTGGAAGATTCTATGTGGGGGCTGAAGAGGGTGGCAGGGGCTCAGGGGTCCTCCTCACGTGCCACTGGCCCCCCTCTACCTCCAGCTGGCTGGAGCATATGCTGAACACAGGGCTAGGAGTCATCCAGCGTTGCTGACTGTGGCCTGGTGCCCCCCAGTAAAAGACTTTCCTGGGGCCAGAGCGAGAGTACAACGCTTGCACGCAGCCAGCACAGGTTCAGTTCCCGGCACCCCATAGGGTCTCCTGAGCTCTGCCAGGAGTTAATTCCTGAGTGCAGAGACAGGAGTAACCCCTGAGCACTGCTGGGTGTGGCCCCAACTCCCCCACCAAAAATGACTTAATTCCTTTTATTTATTTATTTATTTATTTATTGCTTTTTGGGTCACACCCGGTGATGCTCGGGGGTTACTCCTGGCTCTGCACTAAGGAATTATTCCTGGCGGTGGTCAAGGGATCATAAGGGATGCTGGGAATCGAACCCGGTTTGGCTGTGTGCAAGGCAAAGGCCTTAACTGCTGTGCTATCGCTCCAGCCCCTTCTTTTACTTTTTAAATTAAAAAAAAAGGTTGGTGCCATGCCCTGTGATATTCAGGGCTTACTCCTGACTCAGCACTCATTGTTTGGGGGACCATATGGGGTGCCAAGGATCGGACCCTCGGACCCTCATCAGCCATGTGCAAGGCCAGCTGCCTCCCCTCTGTGCTATTTCTTCAGTCCTGATTCCTTATATTTTATTGTGAATTGGGGGGCCACACTCGCAGTGCTCAGGGCTTCCTCCTGGCTCTGTGCTCAGGGATCACTCTTGGAGGTGCTCAAGGGACCATCTGGGGATGGAACTGGGGTGAGCAGCGTGCAGGATAATGCCCCGGCCTGTCCTTCCGGTCCTGTTTGATTTCTTTTAAAAGGCCTTACTCAGGTGCTAGAGAGACAGGGCAGTGGGTAAGGTGCTGGCTTGGCCTGCAGTCAACCCCAGTTTGATCTCTGATCCCCAGCATCTCGTAAGGTCCCCCGAGCCCCTCCAGGAGTGATCCCTGAGGGCTGAGCCAGGAGTCAGCCCTGAGCACCGACCCAGGAGTCAGCCCTGAACACCGAGCCGGGAGTCAGCCCTGAGCACCGAGCCGGGAGTCAGCTCTGAGCACCGAGCCGGGAGTCCGCCCTGAGCACCGCCCTGCCTGCCTCATTCCCGGCTGGGCTCCCGCCTCCTGCTCTCTCTGTTCTCTCTCCCGAGGCCGTTAGTTGCAGTCTGGTGCAGCGTCCGGTGGTCCGCGGCCTTTTCCGAGGGCTGCTCCTCCCTGCGGGGTGAGAGACCGGGCAGCATCCTGGCCTGTTCAACTTTCCTGGGGATGCCGGCTTTTCGCGGCCATCTGCGGCTGGTCTGGGGCCACCCGTGCCCAGCCTGCGGGGAGAGGCGTTTGCCGTCTCGGCTGGGTCGTTGGCGTCTGGGTGCTGCTGGCGGGTCTGTGCCTGCCCCGACGTCGGGGGCTCCGTGGGGGCTCCGGGGCTTCTGTTTCTCTGCCCCGTGGGATGCAGTGGCTGCTCCCGCCCCTTCCCAGCATCCTGCCGCGCCGGCTCCCGCTCAGAGATGCGATTGGCTCACCCCCGTGACGGACTCTCCGGAGAGCCTATCAGAGGCTGCTCTGGGCCAGCGCCCCCTTCCCTGGTCCAATCAGCGGTGGGGACGGGCTGCGGGGCGGGCCCGGCTCACCCACCCTTTCCGTGTCTCCCCAGGCGCCGACACCCAAGGGGGCGGCGGCCCCGAGGCCCCCCGGGAAGCAGCGGGCCCCGAGCTCCCGCAGCTGCCGCGCCGCCCGCAGCTCCTGGACGAGAGCGGGGACCCCCCGGAGCCGGCGGCCGAGGGACCCTCCGCCCAGGCCGCGGGCGAGGCCGGGCCGGGGCCCAAGGGGGCTACCGGCGGGGCCCCCCTCGGCTGGGTGGGGGAGCCCCCGCCCTACGCGCCTCCCGACCCCAAGGCCGTGCAGCTGCTCTACCCGCCCTTCCCGCCGGCCCCGGTGCTCTTCCCGCCGGCAGCGACCCCCCAGGCCCTGTACCCGCCGCCCCCTGCGACCCTCTACCCCGCGCCGCCGCCGCAGCCGCTCTTCACGCCCTTCCCGGTGGTGAGTGAGCCCACCCCGAGCCCCCGGCCCGCATAGCCTAGCGGCTAGAGTCCTGGGGCTTCCTAGGAGTGGGGACATTTGAGCCGGGTTCTGAGGGATGAAGAGGAGTTCTCCAGCGGGCAGCCAGCAGGGCAGGGGACCAGCTCCCTGTGTTGCTGGAAATGGGGAGTGGTTGGCAGGGGGGATCCACACACGGGCCCAGGCCTTCAGGTGGGCAATGACTTGGTGAGATTTCTAAGGGGAAAAAAGAGCAACCCTCCAAAGCCCTGGGTCACCCATGGAGAACTTCCAGATCGGGGGCACTGGAGGCAGATGGTGACTCCTAGGCTAAGGATTCATCAGGACAGGGACAGGCAGAGGGCCGGGGCGAGTGGTCCTCTCCCGTCCCTTCCTGGTGGCGGTGCCCCTCACCCGCATGCTCTGCCCTGCAGTACGGTGGCCCCGGCCTGGCCGAGCACAGGCCCCTGCCCAAGGACTACATGATGGAGTCGGTACTGGTGACGCTCTTCTGCTGCCTGCTCACCGGGCTCATGGCTGTCGTCTACTCCCATGAGGTAGGTGGGACCCCTCCCCCCTTGCAGAGCCTCAGGAGGGGTCAGGAAGGGGGAGGTCCAGTGTGTACTCCGAGCTCCCCTTGCGCCCTCCAGAGAGTTCGCCCCGAACAGTCTGAGGGGAAGGTGTGATGTGTGGTGGGTGTGTTCCCCGTCTAGTAGGTCTCGTGTGTGTTGGTGTAGGGTCTGCATTCCACCCACCTGCCTTCCATCTGTCACTCCTGTCAGCCATCCATTCCCCCCACCATTTATCCATCCTTCCACCCACCGTTAATCCATCCCTTTGCCATCCACCACCCATCCACCTGCCCACCATCCATCTATCCTTCCACCACCTACCCACTGATCCATCATCCACCATCTACCTATCCATCCATCATCCATTTATGCCTCCACTATTCATCCACCATCTATCATCCACCATCCACCCACCCACCCATCTGCCCACCCACCCCCCCATCCATCCATCCACCCATCCATCCATCCATCCATCACCCATCCATCCATCTATCCATCCATCCATCCACCCATCCATCCATCCATCCATCACCCATCCATCCATCCATCCACCCATCCATCCATCCATCTATCCATCACCCATCCATCCATCTATCCATCCATCCATCCACCCATCCATCCATCCATCACCCATCCATCCATCTATCCATCGATCCATCCATCCATCATCCTCCTCCATCCATCCATCATCCTCCTCCATCATCCATCCACCCACCCACCCATCCATCACCCATCCATCCACCCATCCATCCGTCCATCCATCCATCATCCATCCACCCACCCATCCATCCATCCACCCACCCATCCATCCATCCATCCATCATCCTCCACCATCCATCCACCCACCCACCCCATCCACCCATCCATCCATCCATCCATCCATCATCCTCCACGATCCATCCATCTACCCACCCATCCATCCATCCATCCATCACCCATCCATCCATCCATCCATCCACCCACCCATCCATCCATCTATTCATCACCCATCCATTCATCCACCCATCCATCCATCCATCCATCCATCATCCCTCACCATCCATCCATCATCCCTCACCATCCATCCATTATCCTCCACCATCCATCCATCCACCCACCCACCCATCAATTCATCCATCCATTCATCACCCATTCATTTATCCATCCATCCATCCATCCATCCATCATCCCGCACCATCCATCCATCATCCTCCACCATCCATCCATCCATCCATCCACCCACCCACCCATCAATCCATCCATCCATTCATCACCCATCCATTTATCCACCCATCCATCCACTCATCCATCCATCCATCCATCCATCCATCATCCTCCACCATCCATCCACCCACCCACCCATCCATCACCCATCCATCCATCCACCCATCCATCCGTCCATCCATCCATCATCCATCCACCCACCCATCCATCCATCCATCCATCCATCATCCTCCACCATCCATCCACCCACCAATCCATCCATCCATCACCCATCCATTCATTCATCCATCGATTCATCCATCCACCCATCCATCCATCCATCCATTCATCCATCCATCCATCCATCACCCATTCTATACACCAGCCCTCTCCCCGTATCTCAGTGGCCTGCATCCATCTGTCCTTTCTCCTGAAGATTCAGATTCTAGAGTCCCAGTGAGGCCACAGCTCTGACGCCCCCGTTGGCGAGGAGGGCCGGGAAAAGGCCACTTTCAGCCTGAGACCACGGCCTGTATGTAAGCCCTGACCCCAGCGCAGGCTGCGTGGCCGCTGACCGCTCACCTCCCCTCTCTGGGCCTCTGTCCCCCACAACGAGGGGGTAGGTTGTGTGGCTCCGCTTGCCTGGCCCGTCACGCCTCGGCCATCTCGTTGCAGACTCGCGCGGCGCTGAGCCGGGGGGACATGGCCCAGGCCGAGGAGGCATCCCGCAAGGCTCGCGGCTTGGTGCTCTTCAGCCTGCTCTTCGGGGTCTTCGTGTCCGCCAGCTGGGTGATCTACGTGATGGTGGCACTCTACCTACCCTGAGCCACTCCTGCCCCCCACTCCACTGTGGGCGCCAGCCTCGCTGCTGGCTGCCTGTGCCTGGGTGACCCTGGCCCCCTCCCATAGAGCCCCTGGGCCTCTCCCCTCCCCCAGGGGTCCTGACCACCCCCTGCCGCCTTGGCCCCCGGCTCCCCCCTCTGTGGGTCTGTGCTTGGCCATGGTCAGGTCTGACTGCAATCCCTGGACTAGGCAGCGCCTAGAGCCTAGATGTGCCCCCTTTCTCAGACCCAATTAAGAACTGGGGCTAGAGTGATAGCACAGTGGGGAGGGCGTCTGCCTTGCATGTGGCCGACCCGGGTTGATGTTGATCCCCAGCATCCCATATGGTCCCCGAGCACCGCCAGGAGTAATTCCTGAGTGCAGAGCCAGGAGTGACCCCTGAGCATCGCTGGGTGTGGCCCAAAAAGAAGAAAAAAATGAAGGGCTGGAGCAGTAGTCCAGCGGGTTGGGCACTTGCCTTGCACGTGGCTGACCTATATTGATCCCAGGCGCTTCCTGTGTCCCCTGGAGCACTGCCAGGAGTGATCCCAGAACACAGAACCGGAAATAAGCCTGAGCGCACTGCCAGCTGTGGCCCCAAAGAACAAACAAATAAATTCACAGAAATTATGATGGGGACCAGAGAGAAGGTCGGTGGCACTCGCCTCGCACGCGCTGGCCCGGCTTGGTCCCCGGTGCCCCGTCTGCTCCCTCACGCACCACTGGACTCACTCCCAAACTAAACCGAAGCATGAAAGTGGAAGAAGGTTGGGGGTGTGGCTAGAGGCAGAACGTGGCCTTGCATGGCGCTGCCTCCGACCCAGTCCCGGGCACAGTATCTGGTGTCGGGGCCCTGAGCACCGAGTCGGGAGTAAGGCCTGAGCACTGTTGCGCTGGCTGGCCGGAACAGTGGCTGAGTCTCAGGAGGCGTCGAGAGTGAGCAGACACGGGGAGAGATCTGCCCCCTGTGGGCTGTGGGTTGCCTACACAGGCGGGGCTGCAGACCCCCGGGGGACCGGTGGCAGCTCCCCTTCGAGGGCCCTTGGTCAGGACAGTGACATCGTGGCCACTTCCTCCTGGCTCTGCTCAGGGGTCACTCCTGGCGGTTCCGGGGACCAAACTCAGGTTGGCTGTGGGCAAGGCAGACAGACGCCCCTGCTCCCCTCCACTGTGTCCTCACTCCATCCCCAACTCCCCAGTTTCTTATGCAGAAATGACTGAGAAGTTTCTTGGTGTCCCTGGTATTTCCTTTTATTCTTGGGGTGAGGGGGAGCCCCACCCAGTGATGCTCAGGGCTCAGGGTCCCCATATACTGCAGGGATCAAATCTGTGATGGCCTTTTGCAGGGCCAAGTGCCTTCCCCACTGTCTGTCTCTCCAGCCTCAGTACTGGATGTGTTAAGTGATTTATATGTGCTTCGTGTTCGACAGCTTGAACATGTTCGTGTCAGCCTGCCGGTTAAATATACTTGGTTTGTTGATTTTGCTCACTGACTTTGTCTTCAGCTCATTTTTTTTCTCAGGGCTGGGGGGGTGCGCCATACCTGGCAGGGCTCAGGACTTCCTCCTGCCTCTATGCTCAGGGAGCACTCCTAGCGGGGATCAGGTGCCAGGGACTGAACTGGGAATGACCACATGCAAGGCAAGTGCCCTAACCACTGTGCCATCTCTCCGGCCCTCCGGCAGTGTTTCAAAATTCACTTCCTAGTTCTCTTCATTCCTGTAGAACTTTCTACTTGCGCTGTGCTGTCAACCTTATTCGGGCTGATTGGTCTTCCTCTAAGACCCTCTGTTCTTTCCTGCTTCCCTCACCAGTGGGCCGGGACAGTGGTGGATGGAGGAGCCTGAGCCCGCACAGAAGGCTGCGGCCGGGAGGGAAACGCGGAAACGCGTCTCCTCACATCCCGCCGCCTCCCATTGGGAGTTTCCTTTTTGCTGTGCCTGGATGTTAAAGTTTATTAATCGCCTTCTTTTATCCATAGAGAACATTATGTTTTCTTTGTCTTTTTTCCCCCCTTTTTTGTTTTGGGTCACACCCAGCGATGCTCAGGGGTAACTCGGCTCTGTGTTCGGGGATCACTTCTGGTGGTGCTCACAGGAATGTATAGGATGCCGGGGATCGAACCTGGGTCAGCTGCGTGCAAGGCAAATGCCCTTCCCGCTGTGCTATCGCTCCAGCCCCAAATATTATGTTTTTTTCTGTTAATATGACACTGTTAATTTTCAGATGTTAATGGGACTTCTTTTCTGCTTTTTTTTAGCCATGCCCAGCGGTGCTCAGGGCTGCCTCTTGGCTCTGCACCCAGGGATCATGCGTGACGCTTTCAGGGGACCCTATGGGATGCCGGGAATCGAGCCTGGGTCAGGCACATGCAGGGCAAGCGCCCTGTCTTCTGGACTGCCATTCCAGCTGTTAATGGAACATTTTACTCCCGGATAAAGCGTCCTCAAGGGCCGGGGTGATGGCGCATGGGCTAGAGCGTGGGTTTGCATGTGGAACGTCCGAATGAAAACCTGCTGGTGCCCAGGCCCAGGAGTGCCCTGAGCACTGACGAGCACCGTGGATGGTGCTGAGGTCTCCTGTGTGCAAGGCACGCCCCAGAGTACATGGACTTGAACCCTACAGTCCACGGCTGCAGAAACCTCGTGGCCCGACTTCCAACAGGTTCTGCGGGTCTCGATCCCTCGGCCACGGTGTGCTCGGGGGCTTGGCCTGAGGTTGGCTGGGATGTGTGTAGAGAGCGTCAGCGCTTTGTACATCTTTCTCTCTTCCTTATTCTCTTCTGGTTTGGGGGTCACACCCAGGACTCATTCTGCACTGAGGGGACCGTATGGGATGTGGGGGATCGAACCCAGCTCGGCCGCGTGCCAGGCCCGCGTCCTCCGCACTGTGCTGGCATTCCAGCTCCTTTGTGCATCTTTCTTTTCTTTTTCTTTTCATTATTATTGAACTGCAGCTGAGTCACTGCCGTGGTTTATCCGTGTTGGGTTCCGCAGGCCTCCATGTGCTGTCAGGATTCTGGAATGCCTGTTCCGGAAGTGGTAAACGGCCCCCTGCCAGGCCCGCGCTGGCCGGAGTCTCCTGGCAGTTCCATTGGCTTTTGAGGTGTTTTGAACCAAGGATATAACATTAGAGATGGCAGAATCTGGGCTGGAGTAATAGGACAGCGGGCAGGGCGTTTGCGTTGCGTGCAGCCAGCTGGGTTCAATCCCCAGCATCCCAGGTGATCCTCTGAGCACAGAGCCGGGAGTGAGCCCTGAGCACAGAACCAGGAGTGAGCCCTGAGCCCAAAGCGAGGGTCAGCCCTGAGCATAGAACCAGGAGTGATTCCTGAGCATAGAGCCGGGAGTGAGCCCTGAGCACAGAGCCGGGAGTGAGCCCTGAGCACAGAGCCAGGAGTGATCCCTGAGCACAGAGCCAGGAGTCAGCCCCGAACACAGAGCCAGGAGTGATCCCTGAGCACAGAGCCTGAAGTGGACCCTGAGCACAGAGCCAGGGTCAGCCCTGAGTGCAGAACCAGGAGTGATTCCTGAGCGCAGAACCAGGAGTGATCCCTGAGCCCAGAGCCGGGAGTGACCCTGAGCACAGAGTCAGGAGTGATTCCTGAGTACAGAGCCAAGAGTGATCCTTGAACACAGAACTGGGAGTTAGCCCTGAGCACAGAGCCAGAGTGAACCCTGAGCACAGAGCCAAGAGTGATCCCTGAGCACAGAACTAGGAGTTAGCCCTGAGCACAGAGCCAGAGTGAACCCTGAGCACAGAACTGGGAGTCAGCCCTGAGCACAGAGCCAGGAGTTGACCCTGAGCACAAAGCCAGGAATGAGCCCTGAGCACAGAGCCAGGAGTCAGCCCTCAGCACAGAGCCAGGGGTCAGCTCTCAGCACCACTGGGTATATCCTCCAAACAAACAAAACAAAAACCAATTAAGAAAGCATCATCAGGGGCTGGAGCAATAGCACAGCGGGTAGGGCGTCTGCCTTGCATGTGGCCGACCCGGGTTTGATTCCCAGCATCCCACATGGTCCCCTGAGCACAGCCAGGGGTGATTCCTGAATGCAGAGCCAGGAGTAACCCCTATGCATCGCCAGATATGACCCAAAAAGGAAAAAAAAATCACCAGAGCAACCAAGACAAGGCCAAGGGCAGAGCCTATGGGCCAGACCCCACCTGGGCCTGGCGTCAAGTCCCACCCCACCCGCAGCACTGAACGTCAGGCCCTCGTGGCCACGTTGGTTGGTGTCCCTGGGACTGACCCTCAGCAACACAGGGTGCAGCCCGTTTCCCTCGTTTTGTTTTGTTTGGGGGTCTCATCCAGCAGTGCTTAGGGCTGACTCCTGGCGTGGCTCAGGGGACCATACGGGCCTGTCGTGTGCAAGGCAGAGACGCTTCCCGCTGCCCCCACTTTAAAAGAAGATCCAGGAAGTGAATTCAACCCAAAGATTGGACCACTTCGTTTCTCTGCCTCCTCCTCATTCCTTCTTCTCTTTCTCCTCCTCCTACCGCTTCCTCCTCTTCTGTTTTTGTGGCCACACCCAGCTTCGCTCAGGGCTCACTCCTGGCAGGCTCCGGGGACCATATGGGATGCCGGGGATCCAACCCGCATTGGTCGTGTGCCAGGCCCTTCCTGCTGTGCTCTCTGGCCCCAATACTTTGATCAGACTGTGCTTATTTGGGGGGTTGTATTTCCAGAGTATGTGAATAGATATTTTCCACTTTTTCTGTGTTTTTCAGACTGGAGCGATAGCACAGCGGTAGGGCGTTTGCCTTGTGTGCAGCCAGCCCGGCCAAGCTGGGTTTGATTCCTCTGTCCCTCTCAGAGCCTGGCAAGCTACAGTATCTGGCCCTCATGGCAAAGCCTGGCAAGCTCCCCGTGACGTATTCGCTATGCCAAACACAGTAACAACAAGTCTCAATGGAGATGTTACTGGGACTGCTCAAGCAAATCGATGAACAACGGGAGGACAGTTTTTGTGTTCTGTGTTTTTCGGGCCACACCTGTTGGTACTGAGGCCA